TCTTTCCCAATGATTGGAAGCTCTTTCAGGGTCAGGGGAATGAGACCTGTTATTGTTAGTGTTTTTGGCATATCGAATTCATGACGAGGAGCTTGCCAGTCTCTCTGAGAGGCATATATATATATATATATATATGTATACACACACACACATATATATATATTTCTCTCTATGATTTGTTGCCTACTGTCTGAACCCCATCAAATATGATGTGGTAAGTATGGAAAATGGGTAGGAAGTGTCTTATGTGTCTGGAAAGCAGCATGGAGCGTGGCAGTGGTTGGGTAGTGGAGGTCGGTTGCTGGAGCTGGGTACCTTGGGGTGGGAAGGGCTCTCATCCACCCCACTCATTGGCGCCCCAAGTGAAAACAGACTGTGCGGAGTCTGTGGCATGGTTATGGGTGCCTCATTTTATGCTCCCTTCTTGGAGAAGCAGCCATGAATTCTGAAGGGTGGCCGATGAGATTATCTGGCACTGGCAGGGAGTGACTTATGAGTGGGTTCCGTGGGACTTCATTCATGCACCAGAGCATCCGAAAGTGGTCTGGAGCATGGCAGTGGTTGGGTAGTGGAGGTCAACTGCAGAGGCTGGGTCCCATATATATATATGTTTATATACATATATGTATACTATATATATGGTTATATATAGTATACATATATGTATGTATATAACTAAGACAGTAGTGGAGATTTTTCCATACAGAGTAAATTTGTATTTATTTAGAAAAAATGGCACTTATATAACAGTATAACAATTTATTTTGTGTTGAATATTATCTTAGGAATAAAATACAGATATAAATATTTTTTGATGTTGTTGTTTAGAGGTGGGATGTACACCTTGCAGTTCTCAGGGGACATATATGGAGTTGACTGCATATAAGGCAAGTTCCTAAATCTCTGTACTAGCTCTCTGGCCTTAAGCTACAAATCTCAAAAGGTAATATAGAATATTGTGAAAATTATGAAAAACATTATTTTAAAAATAAAATGAACAGCACTAACTACAAAATAAAATATTTTATTGCCAACATATTTTAATTCTACAAAAGTGGTGCAGGTGACTTATGTTAAATGGAAAGAAGGGAGAGATGGCAGTCTTGAGAAAGGAGTCTGCCACTTCTCTCTCTAACCATCTCAGTTATCGGGAAATCTAGGACTGACAAAAAGTCTACTATGAGCCCCTACATGGCGTAGACCTCATGTCTACATGAGGCAGCCATCAAGCTGCACCTGCAGTCCATTGTTCTGCACAGTGTGGGAAATGATCTGCCATGGAATCAGGCTGGAACAAGGAATTGTTCTTTGCAGAAAAAAAAAAAGTCAATCCTAAATCTTATCCAGGTTTGTCAGTCCTTCCTCACAGAAAAGATTCCGGGAGTAGACAAATAATGAAGCAAACAGCATTATTTAGAGATTATGAAGAAGAGAGGGGAGAGACAGAGAGAATGAGAGGGCAAGAGAGAGAGAGAGAAAGAGAGAGAGAGGGAGGGAAGGAGAGAGGGAGAGAAAAAGGGAGGGAGAGAAACACAAGTCAGGTGGAGATGTGTGCCTACCCCAGTATTGGGAGGTGCATTGTTGCATTTGCAAAATTGGCTTTATAGGTTTTCTCCATGGCTTCTCCCATGTGGAGTTTTCTAATTAAGTAAGAGTCCATTGCTATGGCATTGTCAAACAGAAGACTCTGAAGCTTTTTGGTGGTCAACCTCCAAGTATCTATCACAGGTCTTTGTTCCTGCTGGATCTTCTCTCTGGAGAGTTGTTCCAGTGTTTTCTGGTGCTTTGTTGGTGCCAGTTAGAGCCTTACCAGACCTCAGTTTCAGTGTCCACAAAGTGAATCAAGCAATAATGCTTTTAGCTCCTATAGAGTTACTGACAGAGTAATGTCTTCATAACTTATCTTGGTTTCAAGTCCCAAGAGCTCAGGAGGACCTCCCTAACTACTTGCCTGATTCAAAAGAAAGCCGCTAAGAAAGCAAAGGGCAAGGTCCAGAGTCAAAGAAGTTACTTGCAAAATCCATAAAGAATAAAACTCCTGGGTATGGTGCTGCCAGCAGGTCAATCTGTACCTGTGAGGCGAGTGCATCAGCAGCCTGATGGCACCATCAGACTTTCAGATACCGCAAAATTGCTGCTGTGCCTTTGGCCAGACCCCAAAAAGTTTGGGCAAAGTTTACCAAGAAAGTAAATGGCCAAAAGTTAGGTATGTGGGAGACACACCCACAGACCACCTCCGGCTCAGCTATACAGTTGGAAGCATGGCCTCTCTGGTTTCTGATCGAACTGCTTAATGGCCATGATCCCAGAGACTCAGAAACGAATCTCGAAACCCAAAGGCTTTTGGCAGAAATGCATCCTGTTCCTGCAGTAGGTTCCTGGTGCTGGGCCACTCCAGGTGGGAATAGATTTCGTGCATTGGCCTGTTCCCCCTGGCGGCCCCGTGATTGCCATCCTTCAGAGGCCACTGGACAGTCAGGTTTGGGCCTGCAGTGACGAGACATGCAGGGCCTCACCAGATGGTTGTGGAACCGGCCCTTTCCTCCTGATCCCAACGAGACCCCGAGTCGCTGCCTACATACAACCTCTCTGGCGCCTGATCAAGCTGATTAACAGTCATGATCCTAGAGACTCAGAAACAAATCTCAAAACCCAGCGGGTTTTGGCAGAAATGCATCTGGACCGCATACACGCATGCAAGGTGGCCACCACCTCAGAGCCTATAGGAAAGCCAGGTATGAGCCGGCGGTGATGGGGTAACTGCAGTTTCATGGGAAGGGGGATGGTATGGGCTCATCCTTCATGCCCTACCGAGGTCACGAGTTGCCCCCCAGGAGCTGCTCTCTGGAACAGCAATAACACCAGACGCACAGAAACCAATCTTGTAATTATCTGGTTCTTTGCAGAAATCCAAAATCGCAAGGCTGCTATTGTGGCCACACAAGATTATATGATTCTCATAACCAGCTATAGTAAACAAAGTATTTCACAGAGCAATTCTGATTATAGGGGGGGAAATTCTATACAATAATAGTGCATCTTTTGTCAAGATAATGTAATCAATGTATAGAAGAGTTAAGTGGAAATCTTCTGCCTCACAGGCATTAGGAGGGATGGGAGGGGGGTATATTGGGGTTCTTGGTGGTGAAAAATGGGTACTGGTGAAGGGAAAGGTGTTTGATCATTGCATGACAGAGACTTAAACCTGAAAGCTTAATAACTTTTCCCACAGTGAATAAATATTCAATAAATACATATAAGAAGAAAAATAAATAAATAAAATTATGAAAAAAAAAGTAAGGTGGAGTTCATGCCCAATTTAATCAGCTAATCAGTGGCCAGTGGCTGAATAAATAGCAGTACTCCTACAGTTAAAAAAAAAAACAAATAAGCAGAATAAAAGGTGCTCCACATCATTAGCAAGGAATGCATATTAAAATATTAAGATAGAACACAAAACTGGAGTACAATCCTAAAGCAAAAACAGCAGGATGAACCTGAAAATCTAGAAATAAAAGCACTGCAAGTATTGGCAAGGTAATGCAGTACCCTGAGGTATGTTACAATTCAAAATAATAGTGTGGGAAAGATATAAAACAAGCCACATTCAAGAAAAATAAGGTTAGAAGATAGGAAGCAAAAGAAACAGATCAGTGGGGAGTGAAAGAAGTAGGAAGAGGGGAAAAGGAAAAGAAGAAGAACAATTTTTAAAAAAGTAAACTCTGAGCACCACTGGATGTGGCTATCTAAAATGATAAAATTTAAACAGTTTATTAAACTAGAAAACCTTTTCTTTTGGCAGGAAGGAAAATAATAGGTGGCTAACTGACGCAGTTAGAAGGGGAACATCTTTTTACTATATGTCCTTTTTTTTCTTTTTTTTCTGTTTGGGCAGGGCACACCAGAGAGTGCGCATGGTTTATTCCTGGCTCTGCACTCAGAAGTTACTCCTGGTGTGAGACACTCTGGTGCTAGGGATCAAACTCCAGGTTGCCATGTACAAGGCAAGTGCCCTAACCTAGTATTTGTACTCCTCCTCTTTTGTGATTTTTGAAGTTTGGATCATGTGACTCTATTTACTTTTTCAAAATATGAAAGGAAATACCCAGTAACAGTTTTCTAGGTGCTAGAAAATACTTATCCACAGGAGGTCGCTACTTCATTACATTTAACTCTTGTACTTAGCCAGAGAAAAACCAGTCTGAATTCTCCTAGGTTTCACTAGAAAGTTTCGTTCTAGGTTTAAAAAAATACTTTTACATTTTGCTCCCATTTGATACCACATCATGTTCTAGGGGAAGAAATTTTAATTCCAAATATATGTATTTTTTCAAAAGCAGTTACCTATTACATTGTGTGTAGAAAGACACAGAAGTGAAAAGATAATATGAAACTAGGAATAAGTTTATAAGAATTATAGTCTAAACCATATATTTCTTATAGAGATAATTTACTAATTATATCTAAAGTTTCTAGCTCTAATGCAAAAAATATGTTTGGCAGTTAAACCTTGTTCAGGAGACAATCGTGGCTAAGCAAAATGCTTTAAGAAGTGGAGTCTTAAGGACAATCAATGAGGACCCTCCTGTGTGGTCTTACTGAGAAGATTAATCTTAATAGCAGAAACAACTCAGGAATTTATTGTGAAGCTATGCGATCTTACTGCTGAGAGAAATAGGAAATGCTTTGGGACTTCTAAAAAGTGAAGTTTCGTTCATGATTAGTCTTGAATAAAAATGAAACTAAGAATACAGAGGAAATCCCGTAAAACTGTGCTATAAAAAAATCTGATTTAACATTTAATCTAGAGAGAGTAGGTGTTTTAATTTGACTGAACTTTTGAAAATTTAGCTTCTCTGATGAATTTCAGTTTTTTTGTAAAGGCTGAGTTATTCTTCTTTGGCTAAAAATGGGTTAAATGCCGTCTTCGCAGTTCAAGGGAAATTAGCTCTGTTCAAACATTTCTACTGGCTCACAAATTGCAGGGCTTGTAAAGTATAAAGCATGGGGAAATCCATGTGTAAGAGACGTTTTTCTCACTGGCAGGAGCTACAAGGATAAAAAAACACTTTGGCAGTTATGGATTCATCTGACATTCAAAGGAATAAAATAGCTATCATTGGCGGTGGCTTGGTAAGAATATATTTGGATGTTATTCCAGTTAGTGGTATTTTATTATATTACCTTAAGGCCACTGTTAATCATTTATACATTGCTTATTTTCTTGTGAAAACCTTTTTGATATTAAATACATCAAATTAGAATATAGTATTACTACTATTTTGCTCATATCTAGAAAAGGTATTTTATTTCTATTAAATCCGAAGGTTTTGGGTTTTGTTATTCTGGCTTAGCAGTTCTTAAAAGAGAAAGTATAGTAAATTGAGATTAATTTATTTCCACATTTATTGTTTCTAAATCAAATAGTTTAAATAGTTTAAATAGTCATTGTAATGAAAATATTTACCTCAAGTTCCTTAATTGCTTACTTTATACTTTCCACTGAAAGGGTCAGAATAAAAGGGTCAAGAAAAATTAAATTAATGCAAAATTTTCATGTTGGATTTTCAGTAGATATGGGAATAAATGGGAATAATTTCTTCCTGGTCACCTGTTTCAACTGCTAGTTTAGTGGGGCATCTAAGGTAAAAAAGTGAGCAGGTGAAAATGAAAATTGAGCAGGAAGATACTTACTCCACATCTACAAGGGATTGGAGGAGTCTCACCTCATCATCAATTATCACTGATTTTTAAAAAATAATTTATTAAAGCATCATATTTTACAAAGTTACTCATAGTTGGGTTTTAGACAACAATGTTCCAGTACCAACTTCACCACAAGGGTTCCCACTTTCCCTTCCACCATCTCCCCATCTCCAGTGCACCACCTTGAGAAGCACATTTTTAAGTTGAGTTGTTGAAGTTTGAACTTCTTGTTTTCAGTGTAGTTGACTCTGTGGTTTAGCTACTGTACGAAATTCAGTTCTGTTGTATGTAGGATTGTCTAGGTAAATTGCATGTTTTCCCCTTTCAGGAGAACTAATTTGAAATGGAAATATACCCCTTTGTTAAAGTTCAATCATTGTTTCACCTTTAGTATAATCATTTGCAGGCTGTTGACTGATAATTTTCCATTGATTTACTCAACAAAAAGATTATTTACTAGAAACTGAACTAAAACTACATATAACTACACACACAGACACACACACATATATATAAAATGTCCTTACTTAGATTTTTCATTTACTTTATTGTCTTTTGTCTAAAGTACTGTAACTGTTCCCTTAATATTTCCCATTCTTTGTACTAATGAATATGGTCAGATGTCATTTGGTCAATACGTGAAACATATATTTTAATTTTTTCATACTAGGTTTCATTCCAATTTTTCCTGCAAACATTAAAATTCATATATTTAACAAAATCAATTCGTATCTGTCATGTGCCAAGATTGTTTTAGGTGTTAAGAATATGTTGCAAACATTTAAGGGATGAGATATACAGTGAAACCAAAAGCAAATAATTTTAGTTAAAGATAAGTATCATAAAAGATACACAAACAGGATAAAGCTATTGGAAACATCAGGTGATTTCTGTTTAGAAAGTGGTTTAAGACATTCTGTCTGAGAGGAACATCTGACCAGAAGTCTGAATAATCAAACACGAGAAAAGCTACAGGAGGAAGATGATTCCAGGAAGAGATGAGGCAAGAAGAAAAACTATGAGACAATAAGGAGTTGGATACCTGTTCAAAGAGCAAAGGCTATAAAGATAAATCTGAAGAAGAGTTGAGGCTAAAGACATTCAGATTTCAAAGGGTCTTAAAATGTCAAGACAGTAAGGTAAAGGCCCTCCCGTTGTTCATCGATTTGCTCGAGCGGGCCCAGTAACGTCTCCATTGGAGACTTTGTTGTTACTGTGTCTGGCATATCAAATACTCTCGGTAGCTTGCCGGGCTCTCCGAGAGGGGCGGAGGAATCGAACTCAGGTCTGCCATGTTGGCTGCATGCAAGGCAAACGCCCTACCGCTGTGCTATCACTCCAGAAGACAGTAAGATTGTATTTTATTTTAAGAAAATGAAAAGTCACTGGAGGAATTTTAAGCAGGAAAATAAGTTCTAATTTTGAAATGTCCCTTAGTGGAGAACTGGAAAATTGTGAGAAGACAAGCTAAGGATGTAGGAAGCTATTGTGTTTGTGTAAACCTTGAACGAGGGTAATAACAATGGTGTCTCTTAAAATTTATCTTAAAAATCTTAAAGGCGATTACAAAATGGCTTGACATATGTTTCGGGAGACATAAAATTATGGCTATAATTCATGAATTTTTTTCTACATAACACTTACTCTCCACATCATATAATTTTATTATCTAGGTTCACATATGTTACAAAATAGAAATATGCATAAAAAAGTAATATGTGTGTGAAGAAACAATTAAAATTTCTCTGCTAAAGAATTCTATACACCTTATTCTTCAGAGCCATGCCTATAAAACATGTTTGATTCTTTATTTAAGTTTCATTTTGTGCAGAACTCCATTCCTCATTTATTCCATCATTAAATCTTGGTGGCAATTTCCAAAATATACTGAGTGCTGGGACTGAGTGCCATCCTATTATACTGAGTTCCATCCTAATTGATGTCATCATTAACCTTCATTCACATTCATGTTATCGGTCCCTAAGAATTTGCCAACTTCCTCTTATCTACATATAGTCTAGTCTATCCTCAATGCTGCAGTCAGAAAGATTCCTAAAGAATAAATCTGATAAAAACTATAATAATTCTTGGCTTAAGCCCTTCTAATGGTTTCCAATTATAAATAAATAAAATCTACTTGTCTAAACATCCTACATGAACTAAGCCTGTTTACTTTTTTAGTTGGAACTTTTGCCTTCTTTGATTTTATAGATTATCAATCTTCGTCTGAAATTGCACACACTTTATTTACTCATTCATTATTTTTACTTATTTATTAAATTTATTTATAAGAAGTGAGATATAAATTCTTACCTGCCAAGATACTCCAGCCTACAATACTTAATTTCATTTAGTACTTAATAGACAAATGAGTAAGAGAAATTGTCAAAGACCCCAAGTATTTGGTTCTCAGTGTAATAAAAATGGACATGAGAACAAGGGAGATTCAAGTTGAAAAATAAAGTATGCATCTATAACTAGAAGTATGTATAAATTGCAGACAGTAGTAACAGCCAACTCATAAAGATGGTCTCAGAAAATATTGCATTTAGAGAAAAAATAATCCTCAGCCTAAGATAAATTGAAATCAACTTAACATGTTTTTTTCAAAACATGGGATATCTGAAAATCTGGAGTTTAAAAACTGCAACAAAACATTTAAAAAATATAACCTTGCCCCATTTGTGCCCAAATTTCTTATATACTTTGCAACATTCTGAAAACAAAAGATTTAGGAAACTCTTCCTACATTGATTCAAACTCCTCCTATCCTTACACCATTTTGCTTTAAGAATAAAAGGTAAAAGTAAAGGCCCTCCCGTTGATCGTCGATTTGCTCGAGCGGGCCCAGTAATGTCTCCATTGGAGACTTTGTTGTTACTGTGTCTGGCATATCAAATACTCTCGGTAGCTTGCCAGGCTCTCCGAGAGGGGCGGAGGAATCAAACTCGGGTCGGCCATGTTGGCCGCTTGTAAGGCGAACGCCCTACCCGCTGTGCTATAGCTCCAGCTTTAAGAATAAGGCACAATAATTAGTGCAGCACATTGAGAAAGGATGTTATCTCAGGAGTTTCTGAGGTTGGCCCTTTTCACTTTGACTTGCCCTTCGGTGGATCATTTCAGTACTTGATTTTAGGCTGAGAATTCTGAGGTCTTATTGAAGAAGGAGTGGTCAGCCTCTCTCCAGCCCCACGTATTTCTGGAATCCCTGGCAGCCACATACACATCCCACAACTGCTGCCATGTAAACTCAAGGCCTACTTAAATATTCTGGAGGTTCTGGAACACACAGCCAACAGCTCCAAATTCTACCATACTGACTTCCCAATAGGAGCCCTCCAAATTAGATGGGAAAGTAACACAGAATCCAACTAAGCTCAATAAACAAAAATATTCACACAGAAAGTTCAACTAGTAACAAACAGCTAAATAAACTTTCAGACACTGACTTAATGAATCCATGGTTAGATATAACAATTTTCACAGATTTCCTTTCACTGAAGTATTTTGTGATAATTCCACTAGCCACTTAGTTGTAACAAGCAATATAAAATAAATCCTTTTTGTACCTGCTAAGGGGGTAGGCTTGAGGGTTAGTTGGGAAAATGGGAGTAATGGTGGAGGAAAAGTCACACTGGTGGTGGGTTTGGTGTTGTAATATTGAATACCTGTAACAAATGTATCATGACAACTTTGTAAACTACAGTGTCTACACAAAAGGGAAAATCTTATTTTAAGTAAGTCCCAAAATGGAAGATTAGCAGTGTAGCGCTGTCCTCCCATTGTTCATCGATTTGCTGGAGCGGGCCCAGTAACATCTCCACTGTGAGAGTATCTCGCCCACACAGCAAAGCCTTGCAAGCTGCCCATATTCGATATGCCAAACTAAGTAAAATGGAAGATTATTTGAAAATATTTAAATTAAAAATATTTTGTACCAAAATTTATGAATAACTCTGGAAATCAGTAGAGAAAAAGATATCAATAAAATTTGAAAGGAGTTTTTTAAAATTAAAAATCAGTTTACAGAAGAACTAGCTCCAAATAACCAGTAGGACTTACCTAAATAACCAATAGATCCAAATAACTAATAGTGAAAAAATGTTCAATTTCTTAAATAATTAAACATAAAAATTTTAGTTCTCCCACCTTGTTCACCTTAATTGTTTGAGAAGACAAAGTGCTGAAGAAGCTGAACTTGTAAATTCCTGCTTAGAACTCTAGTACAAAATTTTGAAACAGTTTGGCATAATAAAGATGAAGCTCCATCAACCTTTGGCCAGTGACTCTTCTATTGTCTATAAAATTCTAATGAATTTTCATTCACTTTTATATCAAAATATACGCACAAAATGTTTTTTGTGACATGTTAATATCATATTACCAGACCAGAAGGAATTTAAATGTTTTTTAAGGGTAGAACGAATAAATAATTTATATGTGTTTATACAATGAAAATAAAACAATAATGACCTGTGGTTTACATGCATATAGTTGAGTTATAGCAAGATATATAAAAAGAAAATCACAAAAGGAACTTTAAATTTAAGTGGTCAACATTAAGCTATATGCCATAGGGGTGCGTGCATAAGTGACAAAACATAGATATAGTAACATAATTAGAAGATATGGAACTGCACCACTAAAACAATGCACTTTTGAACCAACCTTAACCAAATTATTAAAAATTTAGTAAGATATATTATCACTAAAGTCAGAATGTTTGCGTCTAGGTGAAAGATTAGTGATTGTAACTGAGGAGGGAAGGTGGGGAATTATGGGTTCTGATCTACTTTGTGACAACAATATTGAATACCACTATAAGTGTGTTTTCTTCCTATTACTCATAAAATGTACATGTTTTATAACTTTTGGATATAAAATTATATATCACTGTAAATTTTTTTAATGGAGAGCTAGAGAAATAGCTCATTGAGATGGATCATAGGCTGCGCAAGCACCACATCCCCAGCGCCACAAGTTCCCCTGAGCATGAAAGGGTGTGTCCCCCAAACCAATAGACAAAAAGAAAAAGAGAACAAATGGAAACTACCTCTGAAGTTGTATCATTTATTTATTTATTTGATTTTTTGCAGGGAGTTACATGGACAGTGGTCAGAGATCACTTCTAGAGGGCTTAGGGCACCATATGAAGTACTGGGGATCAAACCTAGATCTGCCACATACAAGGCAAATGCACTATTGCTATGTAGTATACAACAAATGTATTGTTGCTATGCTCCCTAGTCATATTATTTAATTTTTAATTAATTCCATTGTTTTGTAAATGGTGCTTTCTAGTAGTGACTGAGTAAATCAGTATGATGACCAAAATAGTAGAGCACAACCACACACAATGTTTGCATTTTACCAGTATAAATTCACTATATTTGTATAATAAGCTAAGAACATGAAACAGAATGTTTTGATTTCCAGGTTGGAGCATTAAATGCATGTTTCCTAGCAAAAAGGAATTTCCAAGTGGATGTGTATGAGGCTAGAGAAGGTAAGACAAAACTGGTAATGGTGCGATGTGGTTCTATTTCTCTAGTCTCTATCTTCATAACTTCTAAAGAAAAATTTTTAAAAGAGGAAGTGATGTATTAAAAAACTAAATTATATAAATTTAATACAAACTTTATACTATTTATTTTTCCTTTAAAAAAAGTTAACAATGTCTTTTAGTTTCCTTCTGATTATACTAGTATACTCATTATGTTCAAGGATGTGAGGAGGTGTGAATAACATGGAGTCTATTTCCAATGCTTTAGATATCCGGGTGGCTAAATCTGTACGTGGAAGAAGCATTAACTTGGCCCTTTCTTATAGAGGGCGACAAGCCTTGAAAGCCATTGGCCTCGAAGATCAGGTAACTTGTTAATATTTTAAAGAGAGAAAGAGAGAAAGAGAAAGAGAGAGAGAGAGAGAGAGAGAGAGAGAGAGAGAGAGTGTGTGTGTGTGTGTGTGAGAGAGAGAGAGAGAGAGAGAGAGAGAGAGAGAAAACGATAGGGGAGCTATATACATGCTATTATTTCAACAACTGCATGATCTTGATTTCACTTAGACTAGTACTAAATACTACTGCATAGAATGCCAGGAATAATGGTATGGAACTTCATTCTACAAAAGTATGTGAACTTCCTAATTTACAAAAAAAAATGAACCTTTATTAATTGAGGCACATGGTAGGAGTTAGTGGTGGGGGTGGTGTTGAGGTGGAGATTGAGGATTGAGGTTACCAGCACAAATGCATGATATAAAGTAGGAGAACACTGCGAATTCACCTAATTAATTGCTCTGAATAGTGGATCTATGTCTATGGAAGGATGGTCTGAGTGATATCTAAGAAGAGGTAGTCAGTTCTGTTCTTTGTATTATATAGGTATATAGTAAGTAAGTAAAGTAAAGGCCCTCCTGTTGATCATTGATTTGCTCGAGCGGGCCCAGTAACGTCTCCATTGGAGACTTTGTTGTTACTGTGTCTGGCACATCGAATACGTCACGGGGAGCTTGCCAGGCTCTGCTGTGGGGGCAAGATACTCTCGGTAGCTTGCCGGGCTCTCCAAGAGGGGCGGAGGAATTGAACTCGGGTCGGCCATGTTGGCTGGCATGCAAGGCAAACGCCCTACCACTGTGCTATTGCTCCATAAGACAATTATATCTTATAGTAAAACAATTTTGTACTCCTAACAAAACACTGGAACTAGAAAGTTTTCATCACACAATCAGCAGCAAATTAGACTCGATGGCCTTACAGATTCAAAAATATTTTTTTTTATCTTGTTGGGGCCAGAACCACAGTACAGCAGGTAGGGTGCTTGCCTTGCATGTTACTGACCTGGGTTCAGTTTCTGATATTCCATGTGGTTCCAGGAGCCCTGTCAAGAGACATCCCTGAATGTTAAGCCAGGAGTAAATTCTGAGCACAACAGGTGTGCCCCCAAACAAAACAGTACTTTTTTTTTATTGAGATGATGATTTGTAGCAGAAATTGCATTTGACTGTAGGGTGTTGCTCTGATTCCACATGTCACTGATAGTCAAATACAGCTGTCACTGTCACTGTCACTGTCCTCCCGTTGTTCATCGATTTGCTCAAGTGGACCCAGTAATGTCTCCATTGTGACACTTGTTAACTGTGCTTGTCATATAGAATACGTCGCGAGTAGCTTGCCAGGTTTTGCCGCGCGAGCGAGATACTCTCTGTAGCTTGCCGGTCTCTCAGAGAGGGGTGGAGGAATCAAACTCAGGTCAGCCATGTCGGCCGCATGCAAGGCAAACGCCCTACCTGCTGTGCTATCGCTCCAGCCCCCACATACAGCTATATATCTTAAATTTGAAAATGTCTGAATTCTGAAACCAGTGAGCTCCAAGTTTGTGTGTAAAGATTGTGAACCTATGAGTAGGTTTTTTCCCCATATAGGCTGTATGTTTCTGAATTGCTCACTTTATCATGTAGCTTGGAAATGTGAGTAGAATTATTATATGTGCTTTTTTGATAATATTTTTGCTAGCAATAAAAGGTAAAGGTAAGGTAAAGGCCCTCCCGTTGATCGTCGATTTGCTCGAGCGGGCCCAGTAACGTCTCCATTGGAGACTTTGTTGTTACTGTGTCTGGCATATCGAATACTCTCGGTAGCTTGCCGGGCTCTCCGAGAGGGGCGAAGGAATCGAACTCGGGTCGGCCATGTTGGCTGCGTGTAAGGCGAACGCCCTACCCGCTGTGCTATCACTCCAGCCCTTGCTAGCAATGTGTCCTTTAAATGTTAAAATATTAAATGGAATAGAAATAGCAAATATCATTTGCATTTTCATAATATTTTTTAGTTGTATATGTAGGAAAAGACTTTGTGGTTGAGTTTTAGAAGTCTCGAATTTTACTTCTCATGAGATTTACAGATCAGTTATCCTCTCTGAAAAGAACTACTTCCTCAATTATAATTAAAAATCTAATGTTATAAAGTTCAAACCAAAGTTTGCAGAAGCTGTTTTAATTAAGTTTTCACCATACTTTAATGGTCTTTCACATTACTTTTTAAATTGCTTGAAAATACTTAAAAATCACATTTAAAAATTAATACCTACTTTATTTGCACTGAGTCTATGTCATAAAATCAAAAAAATATTTTTGTTTTCATTTTAGATTGTATCCCAAGGTATTCCCATGAGAGCAAGAATGATACATTCACTTTCAGGAAAAAAGACTGCAATTCCCTATGGAACAAAGTCACAGGTAAGTTTATCCTGGAGATACTTGTTCAATGGCACTTGAGTCTAATGTCAGAAAATTTCCAGGAAAAGAAGGCCTACCTCCGTCTAGAGTTTTGGAACTTGGGGATGAGGATGTAGTTGAGTGGCAGAGCACTTGCCCTGCTTTACAAGTATGTGAGATGTTGAGTTCTAGCTCTGGCATGATACACACACAATTAATTGAATTCATATTAGTTAGTAGGTTAAGTCATAGAGATACTTGAAAGAGGACTCAATTTCTAATAAATCTTGAGTTATTTATCATTATTATATTTATTAGGCTATTTTGTATTTGCCTATGTGTAAAGTTCATACATTTTTGGAATTCCTGTTCCCTCTAATTCCTTTTAGTTAGATAGGAAAAATTTTCATGTTTTAATTGGAGAAGAATGCCATTGTTAACCATAATATGCCAAAACAATTCAAGATAGCTTTGTGACATTATTGCCTTCTTCAAAGTGAAGAATTTATAGAATGAACCAGAAGTGATTTTAATATTGTACAATTTCTATCAAAATAGAGGCCAGAGGGTGATATAAAGTTTATGAAACAAAATATTTTGTCATACTTTATGTTTTACTTCTACATAGGAATGTATGTAGTTGGTCAAAATATGACTTTTTATCTAACTTCTAACTACACTTTCCAAGTTTGTTTTTTTGAGAGATGTTTCCTTGAGAGAGATGTTTCCTTGAGAGAGAACAAATGCACAAAACATTAAGTAGAGAAAAGCCCTTACTTGCTTTATGCAACAACACCTCATTTTATTTTAAAATCCCCCACCTCATTTTATTAAGTGAAAATTCCATGTGACGTTCATATTCTTCTATGTCTCTGACCTTCAAACTCCCATTTCAAGTAGATCAGAGAGAGTCCCCTGGGAACTTATTAACATGCAGACACTGATTCCGTAGGGCTAGGTAGAGGCTAAGGTTCTGTATTCCAAACACACATAGAAGTTATCCAGACTGGATACACATATTGGACAAGAGATAAAGCACATAAGCTCAAGGAAATAAGGCCCTTGTGGATATTGTGATGAAAAAAAGTGCCTGGAGCATTATACTCATTGGGATGTACTATTAGAAAACAAATAAAAACAAACACTGTCCTCCTGCTGTTTCATTGATTTGCTCGAGTGGGCCCAGTAATGTCTCCATTTTTGAGACTTGTTGTTACTGTGTTTGGCATATGACTAAATAATAAAATATTACAATAACTAAATATTTGGGGTAAGAGGAATAGGGGAAGAATCAAAATTTTCTATTAATGATTAGAAATTATAATATTTTAATTGATTTATAAAATAGAGAAACTCGTGAGCATGACAGGGGAGAAAAGTTCATTGACCTTGCATAGTCAGATAAACAATGTCAATTATTAGTAGTCACTATTTAGTTGAGCCTCCAATTGAGCAAGGAAAGAAAGAAGAAAAAAAATCGCTTTTTCTCAACCAGCAACTGAAATTTGCAATTAAAGTTAAGTATTTACAATTACAAGTTAAATTTACAATTACAAGAAGTTGTACCAAATATATCCTTTCTATAAATAATAATTGTCCTCCATGTTTGCTATGCGCTGAAGAGCCAGTTGCTAATTGATTGGAAAGAAGCATGTAACATGGTGGGGAAGGTATTAATCAAGTTCATTAGGAAGAGAGCTCTGCTGACTGATGGCAGGAATACTCAACTGTATGATTTATTTAGAAATCCTAAAATGGTCAGAGAGGAAGTAAAACTTTAATTTCCAAAGAACACTAGAAAGAGGAACTGAGACTTGATTGGTTTTAAAACTTATTTTATCAGAAAAATAGCGCTATCTTAAATCAAGTGAGGATATTTGCATATGGGAAGCAAGTTGGATGAGACAAGATCCCTAAATATGTAAATTTCAAACACCTTTGTGTATTAAGTGAGAAATTTATGAATTCACTTTTGTATAACAGATCGCTTATAGCAATCAGTAACCTTAAATTCATTAAATACAGCCCTTGCTTTACAGATGAAGAAACAGCTGCAGGAATATGAGGTTGTATCAAGCTTACGGCAAGTCAGGTTGCCTCAGAAAACAGGAAGCAGAGTGGGGGTAGGAGGAAAGGAATTGTGTGATGTGAATTGGTCCTGCTTGGTTACACTATTTCTCAATGTCCCAAACTGTTTATGGGTGCTAATAACTCTCCCCTGCTGCTTTTATCTTGTATCAACAACACAGAATTGCTGAAGAAGGTAAATTCATCACACCAGAGATTTAATTAATAACATGTTAAAAAAAAACAGGAAACAAATGTTGCTAAATTGAACAACTTTTTTTTTTTTTGCTTTTTGGGTCAAGCCTGGGAATGCACAGGGGTTACTCCTGGCTCATGCACTCAAGCAATTACTCCTGGAGGTGCTCGAGGGACCATATGGGATGCTGGGAATCACACCTGGGTCCTCTGCTTGAAGGGCAAAATGCCCTACCTGCTGTGCTATCGCTCCAGCCCCAAGAACATATTGTTTAAAGAAGAATACTTTAAACCTAAAGTAAAAATAATCTTTCTTGAGAGAGAACCAAAGACAGAATGATAGAGACAGGTTTCTCATCCCCAAGAGGTTATCAGTGGGGTCCTTAATGTACTAGATCAGGAGTATATTAATCTAGTCCCTCACTCAGAAATTTTGCTATTTTTCAATTTCCAAGGTTTGAATTAACATCAAATTTATTGTCATCTCTGTTTAATTTTCATTGCTGCCTTTATATACCAGTGGGAGCTGAGGCCTTTTTTCCTTTAAAGAATGGCATAAAGTTACTCTGGACCACTCAATTCTACAGATTATGCAAATAAATCCAAAATTAATCCCATGACCCCAGGATTTCAGTAAATCCCCAAGGAATCTACCTGATAGAAACTTCTATCTCTTGGTGTTCTGCTTTATTCAACTTGGCATTGTCTGTGTACACAATTTCCCAATTTCACATATAATACTCACTAAAAAACTCATGACTATGCAGAAAATTTGAGGTCATGGAAAGCCACATTCTGCAAAGAACAACAAACAGTTAAGAAATTCCTGATGTGATCAATTTGATCTCCCCAAATCCTTTCTGAGCCACAGTTCTGCATCTCAGAATCCCTTTCTCTACTGCTTATCTGCTTAACATTCAGACTTGTCTTACTGGTTCCTCCCACACACAACCCCTCTCACTGCACTGGGAACAGTCAAAAGATCAAATATTCTCTAATACAGAGGTGGTCAGATTTTCTCTATTCTTACTCTTAACCTCATACTCCCTAAATAGAGAAATAGTATCCCCTAATTAGAACATATTTTCATTTGGAATGGGGGCGTCTTCCCAAGAAGTGCTCAGGAAGGAAACCTACAGTTGATTTTCAGGAAGGTGATTTTTGCTTTATTTTTTTATTTATTTAATTATTATATATATATTTTTTGCTTTTTGGGGTCACACCCAGAAATGCACAGAGCTTACTCCTTGACTCCTTGCTTATGCACTCAGGAATTACTCCTGGTGGTGCTAGGGGGACTATATAGGATGCTGGGAATCGAACCTGGGTTGGCCATGTGCAAGGCAAATGCCCTACCCTCTGTGCTATCACTCTATCCTCAGGAAGGTGATATTTTTTTCAGAAAAGAGGCCATCGGTGATTTGCAGATACCCAGGCCAGTGACTTGATATAAGAACTGGTGATGTGAAGCTGATAAGAACCTGCGGTGCTGGGGATATCTGGGGCACCTTTTTGGTGCTGGGTGTCTCCTGGGCTGCACCTGGGGATACTTGTCAGACCATGTGTTACTGCAACTTGAACACAAGTTAGGTACATGATAGATGTTCTGTCCTAATCTGTGTGCTGTCTCCTGACCCTCTAAGACATTTTTAAAAAGCACCAACGTGCTATTGTTAAAAATTTCCAAAGAATCTTTTTCTTTAGTTTTTCTATTTGCTTTTGTTTTTTTCTTATTTTGATACAAAGCCCACTTTATAGTTCATTTGTTTGTTTTTATTTATGTCTATTTACATAATCAACCACTTAAACAAGATATTGGAAGATTGTCATTTTACGATCATGACTCTAACTTTTATTTACATATAATAACACCCAAAGACATGGAGTAGGCAGACATTTACTCTCAGGTTTGTCTGCAAGAGCAATGCTTATATTGATTCCTTAATGATAGCAATTTCAACCGAAGCTGATAACAGATATAGAACAAATATTTTCCCACTATGAATGTTTCCTCACATTTCTCACATGTGTTTATCATTGAAGTTTATAGATTAATGACATACACTCCATAAAGACTGGAAAACAGGGCTAGAGAGAGACAGTACAGCAGGTAGTGTACTTGCCTTGCACGCAGTCAAACTGGGTTCAATTTCCTGCATCCCATATGGTTCCCTGAGCCCCATGGGAATGATTCCTAAGCACAGAGCTAGGAGTAAAAACTGAGTACAGGTGGCATGACCCAAAAACAGACAAAGAATCTGGAAAACAGAACTATGAAAGAATTTAAATTCAGGGGCCCATATTAATTTCAATTTATAGCAAACACATAAATTGTCATACAGTCACTTCTGTGTAGCATGACTATTTACCTAATACATTTAGTAGCATATAATACACCTAGCATAGACTTCAAATTTTGAAATGTCTGTATGTGGTTAAGATGAAAATTTACAAATTAATGTATTTTTATTAAATATTGTAATATCTCATAATTTGGAAAGTAGTATTGTTTAAATATTTAAAGCAGTGGAGTCACCTGAATTGCAAAACTATAAGACTTTTTAAAAATATTTATTGTTTTTTCAGAGCATTACAAAGCCATTCATTATCAAATTTCAGTTATACAGTATTCCAAAACCATCCCTCCATCAGTGTACATTTCCCAGCACCAATATCCCCAGATTCTTTCCCATCACCCCCACCCCCAATCCAAACCCCTTGCCTGCCTCTTTTTTACTTTATTCTTCCTTCTCATTCTTTTCTTTTTCTTTTTTTATTTTTTAATGAATCACCGTGAATACACTGTAATGAACTGTAATAAATACAGTTACAGAGTTACAAACTTTCGTGCACACGTTTCAGTCATACAGTGATCGAGTACCCATTTCTTCACCAGTGCCCATTCTTCACCACCAATGTTCCCAATATCCTCTCCCATCCCCTCCATCTCTACCCCACCCCACTTCTGTGGCAGGTGGATTCTCTTTTTACTCGCTCTCTCCTTTAGGTGTCTGCAATGCAAGTATTGAGTGACCATCATGTTCATTCTATAGTCTATTCTCAGTACACATCCCGCATCCTGAGTGGATCCTCCAAGCATCCTTTACTTGGTGGTCCCTTCTCTTCTGAACTGCCTTTCCCCCCAGCACGTGAGACCAGTTTCCAGGCTGTGAAGCAATCCTCCTGATACTCATGTCTACTATTCTTGTGTGTATCTCCCATACTGTTACTTTATATTCCACAAATGAGTGCAATCTTCCTATGTCATGTTAATACACTTATATACAAGTTTCATGACTTCATCTTTTCTAACAGCTGCATAGTAGAAGACTTTAATGAGCCCTCAATAAACATTTTTGTCTTTTAAGGGTCCTTTATTCTATTCAAAAGATTTTTTATATGTGTGATATAAAGAAATTAAGTAAAAGAAGAAACAAAACAATACTAAAGAAAATCCTTAGACTCATATTCTTCCTATTTTAAAATAAACTAAAATAAAAAATATTTTTATGAATTCTGAAAAATGTTGTGGGACTAATTACTTTGTCTACTGTGTTACAAGGAGAAGAAATTTCTGATGGAAGTTCAAGACAGTAAGACATACCTAATTGAGAGCTATTGGTATTCTTAAAAAACCCTTTCCACCACAACCAACACAAAATGCACACACCCCAATAACTTTGATATGAAAAGGAAGACCTTCCAAATAGTCTGTCTAGGGAATATTACATTTACTTGAGTGATGCCTTTCTTTATGAAGCTTTTAAAACTTGGAACCCTTGGCCAGATAAATTGTATAGTCGATAGGGCACTTTTCTTTTGTATAGTCGACCTGGGTTTTAACTCTGGTATGGTATATGGTCCTCTTAGTATCTCAGGAATGATTCGTGAGCACAGAGCCAGGAGTAGTCCCTGAGCACTGTTGGATGCTTTACAAACTCCACTTAACAAATCAAGAAAAATTTGGACTCTAAGACCCAAATATGAAATGTATGCTATGTTGCTAAAACTTTAGTAGAAATGCTATTTTTTCAAAAGAGAAAGGTTTAGTTTTTATATTAAACTTTGAAAATTCTGAATTTGAATTTGAGTATTGCATTACATGTATTTGTATAAAGTTAATATTTTGGAGGTTTCTTAGATGCATGATTATAAAACTAAGATCTCAACGTCCTGCCAAACAATATTTGCTGTTCTGAATAAGCATAGTCTTATATTTGTCCATTTTTTTCAGAAGTTAACATTATCTACTCTATTTCTTTCCAGTATATTCTTTCTATAAGCAGGGAAAACTTAAACAAGGACCTATTAAATGGTAAGTCCAAATGTTATTTACCCACTGTCATTTTGAGCTACGCACATGGAACGAGTTTTGTCATATGACTTATTAGAATTGTTTATGCTTCTCTTTTATGGGTTATTTTAAGAACAAGATTATAGGCACCAGAGTGGTAGTACATTGGGTAGAGCACTTGTCTTGCACATGGCCTACATGGGTTCAATCCCTGACATCCCATGGATAATCCCCCAAGCCCTGTCAAACTCAGAGTCTGAGTAAACCCTGAGAATAGCTGAGTGTTGCCCCAAAACAAACGAACAAAGAACAAGATTATATACAATGCAAACTTTTTCTTGAAACTTAATGGTGATATATCCTTTGCCATTCTTTTCCTTTGTATTTGTTTATTTATTTATTTATTGGCTGTTTTGGTCACACCTGGCAATGATCAAGGGTTATTCCTGGCTCTGCACTCAGGAATTACTCCTGGAGATGCTTGGTGAACCTTGGACCATATGGGATGCTGAGGATCAAACTGGATCAACCACATGCAAAGCAATACCGCTGTATCATATCTCCGGTCCCCTCTACCATCTCTCTGGGACCCTGCAATTCCTCTCTTATCTTATCAATGATCTAATGAAAGTCACATTTCTGACATGTATTGAATTCTTATCGTCTTCTAGGGATGAATGAGATCTCACTGCCTAATAAAGAATTCAGTCTAGGGCATAGGTGTGATAGTATAGAGTTTAAGGCACCTGTTTTGACAGATCACTGAATACAGTACCGTAGTACTGTCAGAACTGATTTCTGAGCACATAGTCAGGCTTAAGCTCTGAGCAGTACAAGGTATGGCCCAGCCATTTCTGTGTATACATGTATGTATATATGCATATATATGTATATATACTATGAATAAATTCATTTGAATATATACAAATACATATATTCAAATTATTTTTAAAGTGACAGGGTTAAATTATATTTCAGAAAAATGAAAAACAGTAGTGTGAATGACAGCTGCAGTTTTTAGGGTACTGTAATAATTACTGTACTGAAGTACTGGGTAAGGATTTAAACTATATGAACATGCTTAGAAGGTCATAGATTTAGAAAAAGATCTAATAGATCTTTTATACAGGTGTAGGAGGACAAGAAAAAAGAAAATATAAAATATAACCTTGAAGTGTCTCATTTGAGTAACTAAAAAGATCTACCTATTAATGAAAAAATCAGATGATTATAACATTAAATGGATAACTTTGCTTATCAATCTGGTCACTTTCCATGTACTTTTCTGGGTTTGGCTTTGTTTTGCTTTGTTTGGGGGCCATATCAGGCAGTACTCAGGTTTGAACTCCTGGCTCTGTGCTCAGGGATCACTTCTGGAAGTGCTTGGGGGACTATATTGGGTGCCAGAGATTGAGCCTGGTTCAGCCATGTAGAAGGCAAACTCCTTACATGCTGTATTATCACTTTGGCCTCTCCATGAACTTATGATCATAATAGTGTTTTCTTTTATTTTTTCAACATGTGCTAAACAGATTTATTCTTTTCAAAGCACTCCTCTTAAACATTTCTATTGTCTTTTGTCTCACTTTCCTTCTGACAAAGTCTAACAACCTCTGATCTTTAGCATGCAGTTTCCACATCAGGCATCTGTTTTTCCTGAACATTATACTTCTCAGAAATATTTTTTAAATTAAACTGAAAATTTAAAAAAAGATAATTAAGAATAATATTTTATAAAAGTATTGTTGATAGTTGAGTTTTAAATATATATTATTTCTACACCAATCCCAATATTTCAACTTCCTGCACCAGTGATCCATCCATCTTTCCCCTGAATTAAACTGAACTAACCTGGAAGTATAAGTAAGGGGAAAAATAACTCCGCAACTTTTTTGTTTTTTCTTTTTGGGTCATACCTGGTGATGCACAGGGGTTATTCCTGGCTCTGAACTCAGGAATTACTCCTGGTGGTGCTCAGGGCACTATATGGGGTGCTGGGATCAAACCTAGGTTGGACGCATGCAAGGCAAACGCCCTACCCACTGTGCTATCGCTCCAGCCCCTCCAGCAACTTTTGAAATGGGTCTTGTTTTATTGTTTATTTCATGTTCTTTTTAATTTTTAGACTGTTTTAAAATGTGTGGGATGAGATTATGTTGCTAGACATATTTTATATTGATATTAAGAAAATAAACCACAGAACAGTTTTTTTTTTTATTAGTGAAACACCATGAGGTACAGTTGTAGACTTACAAATTTTTGTGCTTGGATTTCAATTATACAATGATCAAATATCCATCCCTCCACCAGTGCCCATTTTCCACCACCACGGGTCCCAGTATCCCTCCCCCCCTCATCCCCCCCATCTCACCCTGCCTCTGTGGCAGGGCATTCCCTTTTCTCTCTCTCCTTTTGGGTGTTGTGGTTTGCAAAAGAGGCATTAAGTGGCAATCATGTTTGGTCTATAGTCTATTTTCAGCATGCTTCTCCCATCCTAGGAGGATCCTCCCAACACCATTTATTTGGTGCTCCCTTCTCTATCACAGAACAGTTTTTTTGGGGGGGGGGTAATATATACAATCAAATACTTTATTTCACACACAAAAATGTTATATTTTATAGACTCACACACAAAAAAGATGAATATCCCCAAAGAAGGTTAATGAAAGAATAAATCCACAAATTGGCATAGAAATGTGTTTTGGCTATGGGCCTGAGAGCCATTTCAATGGGCACAGTGCATGCTTTGCATGCAGGAGACCTGAGTTCATTTCTTGGCACTACATGCTACCCTAAACACCACTGGAAGCAATCCTACAGCTTAGAGCCTAGTTCCTGAACACTGTCAGGTATGGCCCTCAACCCCCATAAAACAAATGTGTAAGGGCTAGAGCGACAGCACAGCAGGTAGGGCATTTGCCTTGCACACGCTGACCCAGATTTGATTCCCAGCCTCCCATATGGTCTCCCGAGCACCGCCAGGAGTAATTCCTGAGTGCAGAGCCAGGAGTAACCCTGTGCATTGCCGGCAGTGACCCAAAAAGCAAAAACAAAACCCCCAAAAAAAAACCCCAAAAGAAATGTGTAGTTCAGATGGGGGTATTAATATATACAAATACCTTTAAGTTAGAGTTGCTGTGGGAAAAAATATAAATGCTTATACTAAGTACCAGAAAACTCGTCTCAATCAAATCAACATCTCTTTTAGAGTAGTGTTGTCATCATTAGGGACAATCGTCAGTGCACAGAACAGTTTTTTAATGGTAGGATAACATAGCTAAGACAGTCTCGTTATAGTATCCATTGAATTTATTAATATAAGGATAACAAACACTTACTGAGACCCAGGTAGTTGCTTTATATGCATTGGTTTATGTAACTTTCCTAACAAATAATTAAGGTGGCTATCAACTTTATCTGTTTATAGATGGCAAAGGAGGTTAAAAGAGTTCATGGTGGAACAAATCATACTTTTTCTACATGGTAGAATCTGATCTGAACAGTATGTTTGTTACTGCTTTTATGGTCACTCCCTCAAATAATATATATGAAATATAAACTAATAGTAAAGAGTTGAAACAGGTAATAGTCCATCTTAGTTCATAGGTCAGAAACTTCCCAGTTTTTTATTAGTAATATGTAACACAGCATGTGATTTCTAAAATGCCATAAATACACTAATACTATTAATGCTTCATTGCTTGAATCTTTATCTTAGTTTGACATGGAAAATTCTGTATTCCTTTTATACTGCATCAAATATGTGAGCTCTCCATTTTGTATGTCCAATCAATTATAAATGCTTATTCCTAACTGAATAGCCTTCTCTCTGAAGAAGTTGTAACTTAATTATTTCACTGCATCAGCATTTCATGCAGGACTGTTTCATGATTCACATTCTTTGGAGGTTAATAATTATTATGCAAAAAACAGAAAAAAAATGTGACCAAGTAAGCTTGATAAGTCATGAATATTACACATTTTAAAAGGTTTTTTTCCTCTTTTCTTCTCAGGGTTTTTCAGTTAATCAACATTGTAGATCTTTTAAGCAGCATTGCCCAAGATGTGGCCACCAATGTCAGTCACATGTATAATTCTAAATTTTATGATAGCCACATTTTTTTAATTTAAGAAAGCACACATGATATTAATTTTAATAGCAATGCATTTTAATCTATTAGATCAAGTATAATCATCATAGTCACTATAGAACAGTTGTTTACTATAAAATTCTTTTTTAAGTACTAAGTTTTATATTTAGCTCTGAACTTTGAGAATAATAACTGTCTGGTGGTAGAGGAGGACACTGGGTGATAGTAGAGAGAGGGTCTGGTTCTGGGTTGTGTTATGCACAAAACTCAACATTAATAGTATTGGAAAACACAGTGCCTAGGGCTGGAGTGATAGTTTGCCTTGCACGCGGCCAACCCAGGTTCGATTCCCAGCATCCCATATGGTCTCCCAAGCACTGCCAGGAGTAATTCCTGAGTGCAAAGCCAGGAGTAATTCCTGTGCATGTGACCCAAAAAGCAAAACAAAAAAAAAAACCCACAGTGCCTAAAATAATAAATATCTTTTCACTATAGTTCACGTAACATTAATAGGGACACAAATAATATTTTATCATTCTGATAGGAATATGGTTAATAGACTAAAAAATAAAATTCTATGTATTGCTAATAGGATAAGCAAAGAGAACAAAAATAACTTTTATTTATTTTATTTATTGAAATGATTCTTCTTGCTCATTTTTCCTGAATTATTCAAGTGTTTTATTAAACAAAGGTATAGTATAAATAACCTATATTATTTAAATAATCAAAATAAAGTTTAGATATAAAGTTTAGATATAAATTTAGGAATGCTATAATAAAAATTTTTTGTTGAATATTTTCAACCACAAGCGAAGCTTTTAGTTAGAGGCAACTTTTATGTATTTATTTTTAAATAATTTATATTTTTATTGGATCACCGTGGGGTACAGTTATAGACTTACAAATTTTCGTCATACATTTCAGTCATACAATGATCGAGTGCCCATCCCTCCACCAGTGCCCCTTCTCCACCACCAAAGCTCCCAGTTTCCCTTCCCTCCCCTCATCACCTCCCCCGCCCTCTCCCTCCTCTGCCTTGAGGCAACTTTTAAAATATGTAAAGTCTAATTCTTTGTCAGAGTGTCAATATTTACAGTGATATAAAATTTATGTAATAGAATTCATTTATGCGGTTTAGATGAGTATAACTGATTTCTGTTTGTGTTTTACTATGAAATCATCTGAAGCATTTAACCAGTTACAAATTGGATTTTGTACAGTGAATAATAGATGTTTCTTATCATAATATTTTCAGAAAGGGATTACTATTTCAACTTGAACAAATAAAGAATTGAAAATGCCATTTTTATTTTCTTTCTTTGATTTCTTAGCTGTTGAGAAATATCCCAATGCAAAACTGCACTTTGGCCACAGGCTGTTGAAATGTGATCCTGAAGAAGGCATGATCACGGTGCTTGGGTAATCACTGGTCAGCTTTTTTTACTTCAGGGGTAAAGGGTTAGAGTAGAGAATGTTATCTTTAAACTTTGTTCTCTGTTCTTTGAGTTAAATGGTTACTAAAAGGATAACTCAACAGTGTTTAGAGTCAAAGAATCTTAGGGTCTTAGAGCACTCCTAAATATCACAGAAGTGCTTTTTTTATTTGTTCATCAATCTACTGTTCAACACTATGGCTTCAGCTTTTACTCCCTTCAAATAAATGACTCTTCTACCCTGATGCTCCTCTCCTCTTAATGGAGAGTTTTTGTCCTTAGTTGACTCTTTTTCAGTCAAATCTTATATTCTAGTCTTGGAATATGATAAGTGCTCATATTCCATTCAGCCATTCCTTGTGCATAACATAAAACATTTTATCGCAGGTATCTATCTTTGTTCTCCTTCTCACTGAACATCTTCACAGGTATACAACTTACATATGCTCTCAAATACTTTTAAAAGTTGGGGCATGAATTTTTTGAACAGAAGTTTTACTCCTAACTTTCCTAGAATCAGTATTTTCCCTGTTTTCTCTATTTTCCCATTTTCTCCATTAGTTCTTCACTACAAACATTTCCCAGTCTGTCTTCCTGCCAGCCTCAGATTCTATGATTTCTTCCTTCCAAACACCATAGTGCTTAGGGTCTCTTTCTGCACATTTAAATGACAGCAGTCACCTTATCCCTCTTTTCCCTGCCTTCTAAATTCGACATTCACCTTAATATGTTCACAGTAAAGAAAATTTTCTTAAATATAAATCTTTATATATAACCTTTCATTGCAAAAAAAATCTTAGTCAAAATAATGTATTTAAATCTTTTGCATTAACATTCAGCTGTCTCTTCTCATCTTCTACTTTACCCTTCACATTGTATTTTCCTTCTTCTTTTCCTTCCTTCTTTCCTTCCCTCCCAGTTACCCCTTTCCTTCCTTTCTTCCACTTTCTCTTTGCCTTTTCCTTCCTTCCTTCCTTCCTTCCTTCCTTCCTTCCTTCCTTCCTTCCTTCCTTCCTTCCTTCCTTCCTTCCTCCCTCCCTCCCTCCCTCCCTCCCTCCCTCTTTCTTTCTTTCTTTCTTTCTTTCTTTCTTTCTTTCTTTCTTTCTTTCTTTCTTTCTTTCTCACAATATTTAGGAGATAATTCTGGTAATATGCTTGGAGGTTGCTCCTAGCAGTTCTCACAAGACTGTGTGGTGTAAGGCATAGATCTGATAACTGCCACATGGAAAGCAAGCTCCTTACCCTCTGTACTATGTCTCTGTAGTTTTTCTTAAGCTTATCTTCTGATACTCTGCTCTCAAACAACACATAGTGATCCTTGAAAGTCCTGCATGTCCATAACTGGAACACTACCTTCTTCACAATATTCTGTTCCTTTGTGTATGGAACTCAACTCTTAGTCACATTTGTGTGTGTGTTTGTGTGTGTGTGTGTGTGTGTGTGTGTGTGGTATAAAATGCCTTCTCTAATTGCAATAGTTGTGTGTTATTCTGGTTCTCAAAAACAATTCTGTGACTGGGTCAAGTATTATTATTTTAATTTCACTATTAAGGAATCAAAGCTCTAAACAGATATATAAACATGAGCAGTTAATCCTATTACTAAAAGTAAGGATTCCAAGTACAGGTACATTATTATTTTTTCACTGGACTTTTGTTTTGGGATGGTTTATTTCATTTTTCAGATCTGACAAAGTTCCCAAGGATGTCACTTGTGACCTTATTATAGGATGTGATGGAGCCTATTCAACTGTCAGAACTCATCTTGTGAAGAAACCTCGCTTTGATTATAGTCAGAAATACATTCCTCATGGATACATGGAGTTGTCTATTCCACCTAAGAATGGAGATGTAAGTCCTTCTTTCTAATGTCCTTTTCACAACCTTATACCCCTTTATGTTTGGAAGAAGTATATTCTAGTTCAGTTGCTATCAGTGACATGTCACTATTAGTTCTAGTGAATAATGAAATAATTATTCATTATAACTGTAGCACTGTAGCACTGTCCTCCAATTGTTCATCAATTTGCTCGAGTGGGCACCAGTAATGTCTCCATTGTGAGACTTGTTGTTACTGTTTTGAGCATATCGAATATACCACGGGGAGCTCGCCAGGCTCTGCTCTGCAGGTGGGGTACTCTTGGTAGCTTGCTGGGCTCTCCAAGAGGGACAGAGAAATCAAACCCAGGTCGGCCGCATGCAAGGCAAACGTCCTACCTGCTGTGCTATCGCTCCAGCCCATTCATTATAACAATAATGAAAATTGGATATAGCAGTTTCTCTTCACTGGTATCATTCTCACTCCCTCATAGTTAAATACACTGGCCTGAGAGGAAAGTGAAGCAGAGAAATTACAACTATCCTACTGCAAACACATAAGGGATTTTTATATGCAATAATTAATTTTTTTATTTTCTCTTAAAAATAGACAGAAGGGGTCAGAGAAATAATAAGCAAGTAAGGTCCTTGCATGCCTTGCAAGCAGTGAACCCAGGTTTAATCCCTTGTATCACTATATGGTCCCCAGAACATAGTCAGGAGTAATTCCTGAGCACGAAGTCAGGAGTAAACCCTGAGTATAATTGATTGTGGCCCCCAAACAAACAAAAAAGAAAAAGAAAAGGGAAAGAATTTTTAAAAGATGTACAGAGGGTCAAATGCATGTTTAAAAATGCTCATAGTCATATTTTTCAGTAAAGTATAAATCAAAATCACAATGAGATATCTCATACCAACGATAATTACAAACATTAAAAATACTGAAAACAGTGTTAGATGGATTTATCAGAAAATAACCCTCATTCACTGTTGGTGGGAATGTTACCTAGTTCGACCTCGTTGGAGAAAAGTAAGGCAATTTATCATAAAGGTAAAAAATAATTCCACTTATTGGCATCTGCCCCACCAAATATAAAAACATTAATTTGAAAAGGTACCTACGTTCATTGCACCAGTTTACAATAGCAAGGATATGGAAACAACCCAAATATCCAATAAAAAATGAATTGATAAAGAAGTTGTGATATATATATATACATAATAAAATTCTAGGGGACAAAAAGAAAAAGTAAAATCATGCAATTTGCCACAATTTGGATAGAGGACAAGTAAAATAATATTTAAAAAAGTGAAATAAGATCAATGGAGTGCACAAATACCAAATGATCTCACTTTTATGTGGTATAGACAAACAAAACAAGGAAATATTAATAAATGATGATGAGCCCTTATACCTGGATTACATAACTGAGAACAACAGATTGTGGGGAGAGTCGGGGGACATGATGAGGTGTACCAGAAGTAACACAGGGCATTAGTGGAACGTCTTGGTCACATTGGTGGTGTTGAGATGGGATAACTGCATATAAAAATCTTTTAATGTCAACAGAAGAGAAAAAAGGAGCTGGGGATGATTTGTTTACTGACAATCCAGAATTCTTATTATATCACATGATAATTATTAAATAAAGTATTTAATAAGTGAGTTAAATTATTAGAAGAGATTTCCATTAAATTTCCTTATTCCCTGATTTTCATGTTAAGCATATGTAGTGTGAAGCAATTATGTTGTAGGTATATTTTATGTTGTCAAAAGCAAAAAATATGTAAAATTAAAAAGCCAAATATACAAGATCAATAAACCACTAGCAAGACTCGCAAAAATACAAAGAGAGAGATCCCTAATAAACTGAATCAAAAATTGAAAGGGAGTATCACAACAGAAACTACAGAAATCCATAGGATCATTGGAGATCATTTTGAGAATCTTGACCCTATGAAACAAGAGAAGCTTGAAGAAATTGATAATATCCTGGATTCCTATAACCTCCCAAGGATGACCCTACAAAGATTTGGAATACCTGAACAAACCTATCACCACTGAGGAAATTGAAATGTTAATCAAATGTCTTCCCCAAAACAAAAGCCCAGGTTAAGATGGATTCACTAGTGAATTCTTTCAAATAGGACCTATTGCCAATCTATTTCAAACTTTTCCAGGAAATAAAAGAAGCAGAAACACTTCCAAAAGTTTCTAAGAGGCAAATATCACCCTAATACTCAAAGCAGACAAAGACATCACAAAAAAAAGGAAAGAAAATTACAGACAGATATCCCTGATGAACACAAATGCAAATATTCTCAACAAAACAGTGGAAAATGAAATCCAACAACTCATCGAAAGGAGCATACACCATGAACAAGTGGGATTCTTCCCAGGGATGCAAGAATGGTTTAACATTCACAAGTTAATCAACATAAAGCACCCCATCAATAAGAGAAAGGTTATAAATCATATCATATAAATAGATACAGAAAAAGTATTTGATAAGGTCCAGCACCTATCCATGATTAAGTAACATGATAATAACAAATGATAATAACATGATTAATCACAAATGGGAGTTGAAAGGACTTTCCTCAGTATAGTCAAAGCCATCTACAATAAGCCCATAACAAGCATTATTCTCAATGGGGAAAAACTAAAGGCTTTCCCCCTAAGATCAAGAACAAAACAAAGTTTCCAACTCTTGTCACTCCTATTCAATACAGTACTAAAAATATTTGCAATATTGGTTAGGAAAGAAAATTATATCAAGGGCATCCAGATATGAAAGGAAGAAGTCAAGATTTCACTATTTATAGATGACATAATACTGTACTTAGGAAATCCTAAAGAATGTACCAAAAAATTATTTCCTGGAATAAATACATTTTTTTAGTAAAGTGGCAGGTAATAAAATCAATACTCAAATGTCCATGGCTTTCCTAGACACAAATAATGAAAGAGAAGAAAGAGATATCTATAAGATAGTGTCAGTCAAGTTGGGATAATAGTAATATACACATTATATATCTGGTTGGATCAGTGAATAAAATACTTATTTAAGTATTAATTATTGTATTGCATTTCTCATTCCAGGGCAAAAATGTATTTACTAATTCTTGAATGCTAATTTTATGTATTTCAGATAAATCTTGCTCTCATGATGTAGGACTTGATAATTCTGAGTTATAGATAATGAAATTCTGTTGAAATTTTTTTACAAAAAAAAAGGAAAGGTTACAGAGAAATACATGACAGGATGAGTGCATGTCCTGCATATGGGAAGCTGAGGTTTGACCCCAGAACTGCCTAGTACCCTGAGCACTGCCAGTAATGATCCCCCCAAGCATAGAACCAGGAGTAGCCCCAAGCACCACCAGGAGTGACCTAAAACCACCCCTCCTAAGGAAAAATTAGAATGAAATAATAACTCCAAATATAAATTTGATGGTCACTTATTTTCTATTCATTTTGATAGTGATGATTATTAAATTGTAAAGTTTCCACTCTTTCAAGAAACACTTTTGACATAGGTATATGATGAAACATAGGAAATTTTTTATATGGCCTAAATGATCCTCTAACCAATTTTTCTCCCCATTTTTCTTCCTCCCTTCTTTCCTTCCTTCGTCTTTATTTTATTCATGTAATAGAAAATTTTACTCCATCTCTTATGGTTGGAATGGTAGAAAAAGATTGGGTAAATTTCAGAACTGAGCTATTATTTGAGGATGATTTTGGGAATGGTATGGAAGACTCATAGTATAGCCTATTATGAGTAGCATAATATAGCATATGTATTTACCTTAGTATAGCAAAGAAACTATTTTTTCTTTTTAAGTCAAACCCACGATACACAGGTGTTACTCCTGGCTTTTCACTCAGGAATTACCCCTGGCAGTGCTGGGAGGACCATAAGGGATACAGGGAACTGAATCCAGGTAGGCTTCGTGCAAGGCAAACATCCTATCTGCTGTGCTATCACTCCAGCCCCCAAGAAACTACTTTTTGCTCAGACTTTATGCTTGAAAAGACTTGTTAGGAAATTAAAGTGGGTTATAAGGGGCCTATCATTGGCATTGTTGTTTGATAAGAATATGTTTGTTTGGTTTTAAGGTCAAACCCAGTGATATTGAGAGCTTATTCTTGGCTTTGTGTTCAAGGATTTCTCTTGAGTTTGCTCAGGAGACTATATGTGGTGCTGAGGATGGAACTGGTGTTGACTGCATTCAAGGAAAGTGCTTTAAACCCTATAATATTTCTCCAACCTGTTAAGGGTGTCTGTAAAACCTTATCACGCCGAAGGTTGTGTGTTCACGTAGGTTGTGTGTTCACGGGCTCACTGGATGGCTCTTTCTCACTGTCTGTGTTCGGTGCTCTTGAACCCTGTGTGTGGCCTGGATCAGGACGGCTGTTCTTTCTCTCAAGCCTGAGCCCCTCTCGCTCGGACTCTCCATTCCCAGAGTTTACAGTCTTAGTTTATATAGCAATCACGTAAGGCAGTGACATAAAGGTGGGTTGAATATTGACAAATCAACAAAGAGAGGTAAGACCACTCCTCCAGGAGATTAACTCAATGATAAAATCTTATAAAATCTCCCCTTGGAGGGAGCGGGTTGAGCTTTCCTCCCCGCCCCGACCAGGTCTCCAGCAGCCGACGACCTCCAGGACCAGACACCACCATGCTGAGACCACTCTCCACACACCTGAAGGTACCGGCAGAGGGACAAAGCCACGTGGGTTCTGGGGCCGAGATCTCCAAGCCTACTCGGATTGGAGTCGAGCATCCTCCACCCAGATCCTCCAAATTCCAGTAGGCGGGGGTCACACCCACCAACTGGCCCCCTGGCGCTGTGTAATCCCATCAGCGGCCAAGACTCAGAGACTATAAAAACCAGAGCCCGGAACCGCGTGGCCGCAAATGCGGCCGCGCGACATTTTATTATGGCATCTCATTCCTACTTTGACAAACTGGCAGGCTCCCGAATGCAACCTGCCCACTCGGCAGAGTCTGGCAAACTCCCTGTGTCGTACCCAATATGCCAAATACCAGTAACAATGATGGGTCTCATTCTCCTAAAGATCCTTGAATATAATCTCCGGGCTAGGATGAAGGAGACATTACTGGGGCCTGTTCGAGGCAATCGACGAATAACAGGATGATCTGTGATCTGTGATCTGTGAAAATCTCATCTAAAGAGATTACTCCAGATTACTAGGAGATCCGCTCAAGGGTGGGATCCCAACAAGGGTGTGTTCTTCCCTCAGTAATCTACTTAAATGATTGTAATAAATCTACTTCTAATATTTCTAGTAATGTCATTCTGTATGAGCACGGTAAGAGATATAAACTTAGTTTGGTTCTTCCTGAGAACATCTCACTATATATTTCGCAGTCCTCAGGCCAGGTTAATCTTCCTAGCTCCATTTGTCCATGATCATGCCCTCAACTTATAGTTGAGTATCGTGGCTCTTTGGCCTGGCCCATTTCATACAATGATCAAACAACCATCCCTTCACCAGTGCACATTTTTTACCACCAAGAACCCCAACATAACCCCCTTTCCACCCTCCCTATGCCTGTGAGGCAGATGATTTCTACTTAACTCTCTCTCTACTTTGATTACATTCATTATTTCAACAAAAGATGCACCATTATTATTTGGAATTTCCTCCCAACAATCAGAACTGATGAAAAGGCATTGTGAAATAATTTGTTTTCTACTGCTGGTTATGCAGACCATATGAGGTTGAGCGGCTGCGATAGCCTCAACCATATGAGGTCGCATGGCCACACAATTTTGGGTTTCTAATATTTTACTAATTAAGTCTGGAGGGATTTCTGCCAAAAGCCAGATAATTATGAGATTGGTTTGTGTGCCTCTGGGGCCACGGCCATGCCGGAGAGCCACTCGTGGGGGGACAACTTGTGGCCTCGGTAGGGAGTGAAGGACATGCCGGTTCTGCCCTCCATCCCATGAGGCTGAAGTTACCCCATCACAGCCGGCTTATACCTGGCTGTCCAATAAGCTCTGCAGTAGTGGCCACCATGGTGCCGGGGGCGGGGGCGGGGATGGAGGGGGAATGCGGAAGAGACAGACACCCTTTCCCTCTAAGGTGGGGGTGCACAGCGCCTTAGTTTAACATATAGTCCATTCACATTTCTGCCACAAGCTGCTGAGTTCTGAATTAGGTCCTTGTGCCTCTGGGGCCATGGCCGTGCTGAGAGCTGCTTGTGGGGGGCCACTTTCCTTCATTTTTGATTGCCATATTAACACCTATTTTAATGATTCCATTTCCAAATGTTTTTTACCTGCTCTGTTTCTATTTCCTATATTCCTTTGACACCAAATCACTTTTTGCCTCTCTACTATTTGTACTGTTAAAGAAAAGTGAGTTTTCATATACACATATCTTATGCACCTTACTTATGAAGGTGCGTTGTCAAAGAGTTAGACATTCATTTTTATGTCTTTGTGTTGGGCTTTATTTGAGGCTCTGGGGACTTTTTAAAAGCCAGAAGATGGGATCTGAGCAATAGTATAAAAAGTAGGACACTGCCTAAATGTAGCCAACCCTGATTTAATTTCCATCACCCCATATGGTCCCACAACTGGTCCCACAACCTCATCAGGAGTGATCTCTGACTGAATCCAGAGTAAGCCCTGGACACTATCTGTTGTGGTCCAAACCCACCATAAAAAAATAAAAATCCAGAAAGAAGAAATTGTCTCTTCAGGGATGCAAATACCACAGCAGATTTGAAAAAATTTAACTAGAAGACCATGTTGTGCAAGATAAACACATCATAGATGCTTTCCAAGCATTTATGAGAAAGAAGAAAGAAGAAAGAAGAAGAAAGAAGAAATTGTCTCTTTAGGAATGCAAATACAGAAGATTTGAAAAAATTTAACTAGAAGACCATATTGTACAAGATAAACACATCATAGATTCTTTCCAAGCACTTATGAGAAAGAAGAAAGAGAGAAAGGAAGAAAGAAAGAAAGAAAGAAAGAAAGAAAGAAAGAAGAAAGAAGGGAGGGAGGGAGGGAGGGAGGGAGGGAGGAAGGAAGGAAGGAAGGAAGGAAGGAAGGAAGGAAGGAAGGAAGGAAGGAGATAAAGAAAGAAAATACGAACTTGAAATAGTTGGAAAATGATGACATATTCATATGTATATAATACACTTGAGAACTTCAAGTGTTCCGGTTAGTTAGGTTTTGGGGCCAGTTGATCTACCCAAACAACCAATTCTTGTTTCTGTTATTGTGCTGTCACTAGAGAGAGTTTTTCATTCATGTTGTAGGAAGCAAGTAATGAAGTCATTTGTAAAATTTCGCATTTCCCAGGAAATTTAAGCATGTAGTATTTCTGTCTATCATGTCCCCAAATAAGGTAAAAATTAAGTACAAAAATCACATAATAACACTTGTATACAAAAAATATATATAAATTATGTCTTCATGTTTTATTGGAAGGCTTGAGCTATAGCTGGTAGTGTTCAGGGTCTTCTCCTTGGTCTGCTCTCAGGTGGTGTTTGAGAGATAATATGTGATGCTGGAGGTCAAACTAGGATTGCTGGGATGCAAGGCAAAGTGCCTTAACCCCTGTACTTTTTAGTTTTATATATATATATATATATATATATACACAAATATAGAATACACAAGAATGTGTATATATTTGTGTAGATGTTTATGTTTGTATACGTGCCTGAAAATAGAAAATTTCTCATAACAAATTCTAACATTTTGAATTTCATTTTTTTTCATTTCATCATCCTGTTATTCGTCGATTGCCTCGAGCAGGCCCCAGTAACGTCTCTTTCATCATAGCCCTGAGATTATATTCAAGGCTCTTTAGGAGAATGAGACCCATCATTGTTACTGGTATTTGGCATATTTGGTACGCCACGGGGAGTTTGCCAGACTCTGCCCTGTGGGCAGGCTACATTCGATAGCCTGCAAGTTTGTCCAAAGTAGGAATGGGACAATATTCTGATAAGATGTCGTGCGGCCGCGAATGCAGCCGCACGGTTCCGGGATCTGGATTTTATAGTCTCTGAGTCTTGGCCGCTGATGGGATTACACGGCGCCAGGGGGCCAGGTGGTGGGTGTGACCCCTGCCTACTGGAATTTGGAGGATCTGGGTGGAAGATGCTCAACTCCAATCCGAGTAGGTTTGTAGGTCTCGGCCCCGGAACCCGCGTGGCTTTGTCCCTCTGCCAGTACCTTCATGTGTGCGGAGAGTGGTCTCAGCATGGTGGTGGCTGGTCCTGGAGGTCTTCGGCTGCCGGAGCCCTGGTCGGGGCGGGGAGGAAAGCTCAACCCGCTCCCCTCCAAGGGGCCCCAGGAAGGAACACCCAGGCGCGGGGGCAGAAGACTGCACTGTTCTCGTCCGGGATCTGGACTTTATAGTCTCTGAGTCTTGGCCGCTGATGGGATTACACGGCGCCAGGGGGCCAGGTGGTGGGTGTGACCCCTGCCTACTGGAATTTGGAGGATCTGGGTGGAAGATGCTCGACTCCAATCCGAGTAGGTTTGTAGGTCTCGGCCCCGGAACCCGCGTGGCTTTGTCCCTCTGCCAGTACCTTCATGTGTGCGGAGAGTGGTCTCAGCATGGTGGTGGCTGGTCCTGGAGGTCTTCGGCTGCCGGAGCCCTGGTCGGGGCGGGGAGGAAAGCTCAACCCGCTCCCCTCCAAGGGGCCCCGGGAAGGAACACCTAGGTGCGGGTGCAGAAGACTGCACTGTTCACATTTTGAATACTGAATGTTATTACAAACTCACTTAAGTTTATAAACTCAAGATATTTTTGATTGAGTTTATGAACAAAATATTTTCTAAGAAATGTGTATTTTGTCATAATAGATGTACATATTATCATACACATACTATTTATACTACTATAAAACATTGAACATACACAGTTCTTTATATATTATGCATTAAAACACTAATCAAAATGTATTATTTTTTCTTGAAGTTTGCCATGGAACCTAATTATCTTCATATTTGGCCTAGAAATACCTTTATGATGATTGCACTTCCCAACAAGGTAATATAGAATTTTCTATCAAAGGTACTTTTCATTTAAAATTGATATTTTCCTTTTATTTTCCTTTTTACTGGGTACATGTATATGTAATACCATTCGAGTCAATTTAATGATTATAATTTCAAAACTTGGTGGTTACTGAGATAAAACTGAAGGAATTCCATGGAAGTGGGGAATATAATAAGTAACAAGAGTTCATGTGTGCTGGGATCTGATTTATCTCCCCCAAGATGGTATAGGAAGAAATGACTACCAGTTAAAGGAAAAATATATAGAGATTGATTGATAATATATTAAGCAATACTTTCAGTGTTTAAGGTTTGTAGTACAATTAATAATATATGTTATCCCAAAAGAGCACAGCTGTTCCTTCATTTGATCCTAGACACTCTTTTTTTCTGAATATTAACTATTTCTCTACTTTGTTCTTAATTTATATTGATATCAATCCTGGGGTCCGATGACTCATAACACTATCTTGAAAGAAAGAATAGAGCAAAAGAAGGGAAAAATAAATTAAATCTATTAGTAACCTAAGGAGGGTAGTGTTTCTTCAGTAAAAATTGCTGTAATTTACATGTAGAATTTCTTTTGTCTTTCCTTTTTTTGAAACAGAAAAGTTTTTTGGAAAATAGAAGGTAAAGGAACTCCCAAGCTGGGGAGGAAACCTAGTTTAGGGCTAAGTTCAACACGTGGAAATTTTCTAACAATCAAGGGATGTGGGAAACACCCCTGAGACTTGACAGAGATTTACTTTGAAAGTGAGGTATGAAAGAAAGCAAGGATGCTTTCTGTTTATGTGGACCTTGTTTCCCAGTACCCTTGGATTGTAGCAAGAACCCTATGATTGTTGAAAATAGAACCTTGTGATTTAGGTTGTGCCTTTAGTGTAGTATCACCTGATGCCCACTCTCTCTCACACTGTGCCTTTTCTTCTCACAGAACAAGTCTTTCACATGTACCTTGTTCATGCCCTTTGAAGAGTTTGAAAAACTTGTAACTAGCAGTGATGTGCTGAATTTCTTCCAGAAGCACTTTCCAGATTCCATTCCTCTAATGGGAGAGTAAGTTTCAAGATAATGCAGTTGTTTCTGTGTTCCATTAGTTTGCATAATTCAAACAAAGGTTATCAACCTATTTCAGTTTTTGAACAGTCTGAGCAGTTGTGGACCTAAATCATAAATATATATTAGAGTCAAAGCCTAAGCCAGATTTCAACTTTGCAAACTTATTTGACATACTGACCCCTTTAAAAAAAATCCATCAGTGTCATTTGCCAGAAATCTACCTTCTTCGATGGAGCTAACAGAATGTGACTGTCTCCACCAACTGCAGTTGCACTGCGGCTATTACTGCCCTTCAGGATCTGTCCAGTGCCTTATGGGACAGTATCAATTACCTTGAGAAACATTGTTCCAAGCAATGCAATGTGGGCAGAAACTGAAAAATCACAATCCACATTAGTTTCCTTGAGAGTCACCAATGTCCCTTGGTCTTCTTTTATCAAATACAGGCTCTTGCATCTCTCAGGGCTTGGTGTGCCTGCTATGTTTTCTTCTGATAGTGGATAACAGAAATATATGATAGATACAGATACAGCTAGACTTCTCAAATCTTGGACCCTCCAAAGCAAAACATCAATAAGTTGTACCTGCTTCAAAAGTGTTGTTGTAAAACTAAGATGATGCCTGGTTATTATCAGGCAGCCCCCAAATAATCACATAACCATCTGCTTTATTATCTCGCTTGTGGTCCATGTCAATATCACCCTCCATATGGACATTGTTATTTGTTCTTTTTCAGTGTCCAGTATTTCTGTTCCCATGGTCTCTGCCTTCTAGAATTCTTTTTTGCATTTAACCTCCAGTGATTTCTATCTCCATTGAAGTAGCACAATATTGCAGAAAAAAACAAATTTTGTGACTTTCTGCCCTTCCTAGAGCCTCAGTTTTTTAATGGGCATCAAAATACCTCCTTTTATGATACCTGAAAATTAAATGAGTAAGTTATGTGAAAAAAAATACCCAATACCAACTCATAGAAAATCTTTCTTTTTAAAAAATTGTCCTGTACAGAACCTTTCCTGTACTTTAATCCAATGTACTGGTCTTCACTTTTCACTCTATTTAACTTTGGGACAGTGCTGAGGGCTTACTCCAGTCTCTGTATTTTGTGAGGCTCAATCCCAGGGACTTGATGCAGTAGCATACAAGGCAAGTGCCCTACTGGCCATATTAACTTTCCAAAGAGAACTGTTTTTAATTCCACCCTTGAAGGAAAATCTCTACATACCAAATTAAACCCCTGTGTACTTTTAAAGCTCATTATACAGCTATTTATTGTCTTTCCTATAAGATTTAAGATCCTTGAAGGGCTGTAAGTCCTTTCTATAGTTTTGACAAACTTTTGTAGATGATTGGAAAAACTAAGTTGATTACAACTGTTTAATTTTGTGTTTGAGGAGCCTTCTAAGTAATACTCAAAGGTTCTGGAGTTCATTTCTGATGATATTCAGCCAATCTAGCTAGATGATTTGATACTAGAGCCCAGAGATGTAGTGATGGCAATACCAGGAGATGGCTCACTTGATCAAGCTCAGAGACCTCAAAACCAACACCCAATAATGTTCAGGTGTTTTCTTGTACTGCAAGAGATGAAATTCACATCCCTGAAAAATCATAGTGTGCTCCCATGGCTCCTAGTTATTTCTTCAGCCTTCAGTTGTCCATTTTAAATTTATAGAAAATTCATATTAATTTTTATTTGGTTTATCACAACAGCATTTGATATTTCACAGAAATGTATAATAAATCAGTGTGTTTGAAAATTGCATGATCCAGTGGAAAGGGGAGTCACCAAGCAGGGGGAATTAGTCACAATAGTGTTATCACCTGGAGCAATAGAACATTGGATAGGGTGTTTGCCTTGCACATGGCCGACCCAGGTTTGATTCTTCTGACCCTCTCAGAGAGACAGGCAAACTATCAAGAATATTCTGCCCAGGAGGCAGAGCCTGATAAACTCCCTGTGGCATATTCAATATGCCTTACAATGGAGATGCTACTGGTGCACGCTCGAGAAAATCGATGTACAACAGGAGGACAGTGCTACAGTGCTACAGTGTTTTTATCATCACTGCTACTGACTCAATAAATGTCTGGGGGTTAGTGAAGTTGTGAGTGGGGGTGGTATCAGATAAAATCTGCACCATCTCCCACAAGGAGTGGATATTAAAACCCTGTCAATCTCACCACGACAGTCATCAATCATGGTTCTCAGACTGAGAAGTCATGCTTTTCACAGGAAAAGGATGTTACTCACAAACAGGTTAGCTAGGTTTGCTGTCCATTGTTGCAGGAGAAGTTCAGGAGAAGCAAAAATACTTTGATTAAATGATTATGGAAGAGAGGAGAGAGAAGGGAGAACCACTAAAGGGAAGAAATTACACCCAAAGTTGGAATGTGCAAGCAACCCCAGAATGGAGTGCACTGGGGTTGCTTTTGCAAAGCTGATTACAATAAGCCTTTTCTAATCTGCCAAGTGTTTGAAACTTTCTGTAACATGAAGAGTCCTTTGCTAGAGCACTGTCAAGGAAACAACAACAACAACGACTACAACAACAAAAAAACCCATGAGGTCTTATGGTCCTAATTCAGAGTCCTTTTTTGTTCATTTTTTTTGTTTTGGTTCACACCTGGTGATGCTCAGGAGTCACTCCTGGCTCTGCATTCAGGAATTATTCCTGGCAGTGCTCAGTGGACCATATGGGATGCGGGAGATCAAACCCAGGTTGGGCAGTGCAAGGCAAATGTCCTACTTTCTTTATGACCCCTAACTCAACATTTTAACAAGGCTTTTGTTCCTTATGTATCTTCTCCAAAGAGGGTTCAAGTTCTTGGACTAATGTACAAACTGATGACAGTAAACTCTTCATATTTCAGGCATTCTGACTTTTATTGCCACTATAATTGCCTATTTCATAATAAAATTTCAAGAAGTATAATTTAATAAATAATATTTTAGTTTTGTGATGCAGACAAATTTATTCTTTTAGATATAATTAACACTGTTGCAAGTAAAATGTATTTTGAATAATAGGATGTCAGATTTGGAAAAAACACTCTTTTCATTTTTCTGTTTTCTTCTTGGCTTTATTGTGCATTTTTAAAATAATATCCTATAGTAATATATTGGTAATCTGAAAGAATCCTGTAGAATTCTTCAGTATTATTAATGTAGCCTCTCTGCCTTTTGTTTATTTTCCTTTGAAGGCAAGCCCTGACACAAGATTTCTTTCTGTTGCCTGCTCAGCCCATGATATCCATAAAATGTTCTTCTTTTCACTTTAAATCCCACTGTATGCTGATGGGAGATGCAGCTCATGCTATAGTGCCCTTTTTTGGGCAAGGAATGAATGCGGTAAGTTATTCTCCCTATGTGTTCATAAAAAATTTTTTAGGATCAGCCACTACTATAATGTTGTTAATTGTAAAATTTTACCATGTAATCTCTGAGAAAACAATCAACTCTACAATCATAACAGCTATCTAAGTAGATTGATCACTGTAGCACTGTAGCACTGTCCTCCCGTTGTTCATCGATTTGCTCGAGTGGGCCCAGTAGCGTCTCCATAGTGAGACTTGTTACTGTGTTTGGTATATTGAATACGTCATGGGTAGCTTGCCAGGCTTTGCCGTGCGGGTGAGAATACTCTTGGTAGCTTGCCAGGTTAACTATAGTTATATGTTGGCTTATTTGATTCATAGCACTGTAGTACTGTCTCCTCCCATTGTTCATCATTTGCTCGAGCAGGCACCAGTAACGTCTCCATTGTGAGACTTATTGTTCCTGTTTTTGGCATATCGAATATGCCATGGGGAGCTTGCCAGGCTCTGCTGTGTGGGCAGGATACTCTCGGTAGCTTGCTGGGCTCTCTGAGAGGGACAGAGGAATCGAACCCAGGTCAACCCTTGCAAGGCAAACGCCCTACCCGCTGTGCTATCGCTCCAGCCCTTCAGTAATCTAATGTAGAAAAATCATATAGCATAAAATGGTCCTCTGCTGACTTAGAAATGATATTAAAAACTTAAAATTTTGAATACTTTTAATGCTTCCAAACTATATTTTAAAAAAATAACATTTTCTTATATATAACTTGCCAGCAAGATAACTCAAGTGATTAGAGCATATGCTTGGTTCTTGCAAGTTAGACCCCTGATAATGCATAAGCCTTAGCCACCCACCACTGCCAGTGTGGCCTTATAAAAAGAAATCAACATTAAAAATATATTTTACTAAATACTATTTAAATATGCATACTATTAGCCCCCACGTATAGGTAACAGAACCATCTCAAGTATGCAGTTAATGGAATTTTATTTATAATTCATATCTCTGCCTGTGTTAAGTCAATAGTTGTGTACTGTTTGATGATAAAATATCCTATTAGTTGTAGTCACAATAGAAGACCTGTTCAAAATTACTAAGAATCTTTTATTACCAGTTTATTTTTTATTTTTCTTTTTTTTAGGGTTTTGAAGATTGCTTAGTTTTTGATGAATTAATGGATAAGTTCAATAATGAGTTTAGTAAGTAAATGTTCTCAATTGGTTATGAACTAGTTAATAATTAATTGTGGACCTATTTTTTTAATCTCAAGCATTAACAACCCATGATGCATACTCGATGTTTAGAATTATAAATTATTCTACTATCATTAATTCTATTGTTATCATTGTTGTCCAATTTTGTCCAACGAAGCATGCAATCAAAGAAACAGAGTTTAAGGTTCCTACACGGAAGTTTCTGCATTAATCCACAGATTCTGCATTAGTCCTGAGTACCACTTTGGTGAAGGACTCTTCCTTTCTCTCCTTTACAATTTAGGTAATATGCCCTGTCTACACCCCCTATAACATACACTCACATATACTTTTTCAAAAGATTTAAGCCTCTTGCTTTTTTATTTGTCAGAGATTTCACAAATAAGTTCAGCTAATATACCAATTTTACTAATAATTGAAGCTTTAAGCTTTAAAATGAAAATCTGAATATAGCTTAGATTATATATATATAATTTTTCCCTAAAAATTACAAACAATATCCTCAGAACTGGATGACTTCTATTGTTTCTCAGCATGGCATGGTCTCAAAAAATACCTCTTTAAGTAAGCCTGTCAAGACTGAACACAGAGCCAGGTGTAAGTAATCAGCACTTCTGTGTGTGGTGCAGAAAAACCAAACCAAAAAACAAAAATCAGAGGAGACTTCCTAGAAGATTATATTTCAGGATCATATGGTTCCTTTTACTTTCTGCAATCTTTTACAGTGCCAGATTCATTTACAAATAAATAATGAGTCTCACTATGGCCACAGAGTACAAGAGGAAAATCTTTTTTGCCTTGCTTTCAATCATCCCTGTTTGCATCATATCACCACATAACAGTCCTCTGAACACTGAGCACAGAGTCGGGGATAGTCTCAGAACTGGCTTCCTACATCCTGGAAATTCAAGATAAGCATCTTAACTTCTGTATTCTCTTTAGCCAAAAGTTTTTATTCTGATTAAGAATATTGCAAAAGATATGTCCCAAGAGAGCATACCTTCACAGAAGATTTTCATGGTTACCTCTTTTTCTCCTGAAGATATTTCTTCTGAAGTTTCTTCATTTTTCTTTTGGTTGACTCGCCAAATAAATGTAGAAGACTTCAGTAAAGCGGTGAGCAAAGAAGGTATTAGACTCAAGAAAGTGGAAAATGAGGCAGCATATTTTAAAACTGAGTCATTTTACAGTCATTTTCATTCTTTCTTCACCCAATATCCCACTTCTAATAAAAACTTAAATCAAAAGTCAGAGAGATTGTGCAGCAGGTAGGGCATTTTCCTTGTACATATCTAACCCGGGTTCAATTTCTGATGTTTCATATGGCCCCCTGGACTTCTATTAGTTACACAGCTGATTAGAGAATACATTTGCAGTAAATACAACATTTAACTTAATCTCTGCAGAATTCAGCACATTATAGACTATTTTAGAAAATATATATTATTTATTGATTTCTAGGCCTGTGTCTTCCTGAATTTTCAAGAATGAGAGTTCCAGATGATCATGCAATTTCAGACCTGTCCATGTACAATTATATAGAGGTGAGTAATTAAATTTAGCTCTAATCCAGAAGCTCATTCACTGATAATTTCATTAGATGTTTCTTTTTTTATTTTAGCCCCATCTCATACATGATGTCTAAAAATAGGTACAAAAGTACACACACACCCACACCATTTTATACACTTGAGTAGACTGTCACTGTGGACCAGAAGTTTTCAGTTATTTGGCCTACTTCCACCTTTACAAAAAATACAAAGAAACAAAATACCCACTCAATGTCCATAGAAATCTACTTTCTTTAAGCAAAACAAACCAAAGCAAAACAGAAAGTTATTCCTGAAGCTGCGACCACATTCCTGGAAATTCCCAGTGCATCTCAAGCAGCATTGTCATCCAATCTGGGAAACACTGATATAGATTATGACTCACACATATCACCTACACCTTTCTTTCAGAGGCACTTAGGAAGTGAAAAAGATGAAGAAATGTTTAATAAACCTATAATTTATAGGTTCAAACCTTACATATTTGGTAGATTTAGTATTATGATATTTTAATGTAAATATAATGTTGACTTACTAGAAAAACCAAAGAAATGTTTAACGACCTTTCTTTTTTTTTCTAATTAAAAAAAATTTTTTTGAAATGTACATAGCAGTCATTTACTGACAAGCCAATTGAGACCATTCCACATCTGCTCAGCAGAGCAGAGTACTCAAGGACAGGCTCTGTAAATCCAAGACAAACATCCAGAGCACCTGGGTAAGAACTGTCCAGGAGTTAAAAGAAATTAAACTCAAAGTCTTGATTAAGAGTACCCTTTGCTCCGGCTGCCAGGCGAGACCGGAGACCTCCGGCTCTTCTGTCTGGCAGTCTCACCTACAGGCTGCACATGGGCAGCATGAGCTGCCAGCCTTAGGCAAACGCAAGGCTTCGCGCCACCGAGCTTCCATTCGCTCCCAGTAGTGCCCAAACACATAGCAAACCAGCTGCCTCTTCCAGGCCAAAGGGGTCTTCCGCTGCGAAAGGCTCGAATTGCTGCAGCAGCCGGCTCTTTCCATTTGGGGCTGGGTCTCTGCATCTTCAGTTCCAGCTCCGACAGCTCCCAGCACCAGGTCAGTTCCCTGGTGAGCTGCTCCTCCTATTCTCTGCATTTAGGGGGCCTTTCTCTGGGATTAGCTCTTCCTACCTTCTGAGACCTCTCTCTCTCTCTCTCTCTCTCTCTCTCTTTCTCTCCCTCTCTCTTTCTCTCTCTTCTCACCTCTCTCTCTCTTTTCTCTCCTCTCTCTCTGTCTCTGTCTCTCTCTGTCTCCGTCTCTCTTCTCTCTTTGTCTCTGTCTCTCTGTCTCTGTCTCCCTGTCTCTGTCTCTCTCTCTGTCTTTGTCTCTGTCTCTTTCTGTCTCTGTATCTGTCTCTTTCTCTTTCTTTCTCTGTCTCTGTCTCTCTCTTTCTCTCATCTCTCTCTCTCTCTTTCTCTCCCTCTCTCTTTCTCTCTCTTCTCACCTCTCTCTCTTTTCTCTCCTCTCTCTCTGTCTCTGTCTCTCTCTGTCTCCGTCTCTCTTCTCTCTTTGTCTCTGTCTCTCTGTCTCCGTCTCCCTGTCTCCGTCTCTCTCTCTCTCTGTCTTTGTCTCTGTCTCTTTCTGTCTCTGTCTCTTTCTCTTTCTTTCTCTGTCTCTGTCTCTCTCTCTCATCTCTCTCTCTCTCTCTCTCTCTCTCTCTCTCTCTCTCTCTCTCCAGTGATGTACTGGTAATAGAGGAACCATATGGTGGAGGGAATTGAATTGCATGTGAGAGCCTCATCACATGCAAAACATGCTCCAGTCACTTAAACCATCTCCTTGACCTAACTTTTCTACTTTTAACATTATAAAATTCAAAATTACAGCAGCATTGACAATCCTTGAGAGGTTCTAGTAGGAGAGAGCGGCTACCCTCAGTGGAATGGTCACTCTCTCTTCTGGGTAAAACAGCACACAGATTTGGGAGGGAAGCATATGGATAGTGAGAAAGGGGACACTCACTTAGCCCACCAAATTAGCTGAATCAACCCTGATGATCAATGAAGTGACAAATGTCACAGCTAAATTGCTCTCACATTCAGTACTATCCTTTGACACATAATGTGCCCAAAAAAAGGCAATACCAAAGAAATTCATGATTAGAATATAAATACTCTGAAAAAAATCGCAATTCCATTTTGAATCAGTCACATTAAAGTTATAGCTTATTATCTATAGTTTGTAAATAATCACACACACACATACACACACACACACACACACACACACACACACACACACACACACACACTGTCCTCCCGCTGTTCGTCGATTTGCTCTAATGGGCCCAGTACCATCTCCATTTTGAGACTTGTTGCTACTGTGTTTGGCATATTGAATAAGTCACGGGTAGCTTTCCAGGTTTTGCCGTGCAGGCAAGATATTCTCGGTAACTTGCCAGGCTCTCAAGAGGGGCAGAGGAATCAAACCCGGCTCGGTTGGGCTGGCTGCCTACAAGGCAAACACCCTACCGCTGTGCTATCGCTCCAGCCCTGTAAATAATCAAATAAAAAATTTTACAACATGGGTTTTAAAAGAGTGGTTATTTTCTATCTTAAAAACAGAAAGTCATAAAATTAACTTCAATTTAAACAGAATTGTTTCACAGATGTGAAAAAAAGAAATTTGATAAAATGCTAAAAGGCCTCATTCATTTCGCCTTCATCAATGATTTGTACTTAAAAACTATATTTGTCCTGAATATGTTGTAAATCAAGACAAAATACCTTTAAGCAGCCCATTTCTTGTGATAAACAATATTTCAGACTGACCAGGAAACAAAGGAAGCTGGTCAAATGTTTTGGTTTACAGTTAAGATGTAGATCCAGTTGAACAAACACCTCACTAAAATTGTTTCCCATATCTACTTCTGAGCAAAATAGTCACTAAACAGGTATAATTGCTCTGATTTTCAAAGCAATATTCTAGTGACATTGATTAAATTATTACACAGACTGGAGTGATAGCACAGTGGTAGGGCGTTTGCCTTGCGCACAGCCAGCTCGGTCAAGCCGGGTTCAATTCCTCCGCCCCTTTCGGAGAGCCTGGCAAGCTACCGAGAGTATTCAATACGCCAAACACAGTAACAAGAAGTCTCACAATGGAGACGTTACTGGGCCCACTTGAGCAAATCGATGAGCAACGGGAGGACAGACAGATTATTATTAACATTTACTAAGAAGAATTGGGACTGACCATTTCAGAAAGAAGTTAGCATTTTGTGCCTAGTTTTGTGGTAGCACTGTAGCACTGTTCTCCCATTGTTCATCGATTTGCTTGAGCGCACACCAGTAACATTTCACAACAAATAGTGAGACTTGTTGTTACTGTTTTTGGCATATATAATATATCACAGGGAGTTTGCCAGGCTTTGCCGTGCAGGCGAGATACTCTTGGTAGCTTGCCGGGCTCTCCGAGAGGTGTGGAGGAATCAAACCGGGGTCGGCCATGTGCAAGGCAAACACCTTAACCTTAACCGCTGTGCTATCGCTCCAACCCAGTTTTGTGTTAAATGGAAAAAATATGTAATAATAGATTACAGTAAAGAAATACAGATTCTTTGTTTAAGGTATTCTGTAAGAATCTTACATCATTGCAGATGAGAGCACATGTCAACTCGAGATGGTTCATCTTCCGAAAGAACATAGAGAAATTTCTTCATGCTATTATGCCATCTACTTTCATTCCTCTATATACTATGGTAAGGTTTGAACTTAAGACTTTTCCTTATTTCAATATTTTGTATAACTATCATAAAATTCACCAAAACACCTTTTGAAACTTCTTTACAGGTTACCTTTTCCAGAATAAGATACCATGAGGCAGTGTTGCGCTGGCATTGGCAAAAAAAGGTTGGAACAGATTATTGCTTTAAAAAATATCTGACACATTAAAGTTAATAATATTATGGGTCATGCAATTTTGATTATCGTCATATCAGAAAAGTAAGGAAATTATATGACACCTGCCAAATATCTGTATGATAAGTAAAAATATACAAGTAAAAATGTTCTGGGAAACCAGAAATTCTAATGACTAGAATAGTAAAAATGAGATCACAGTGGGATCATTTAAAAAAAATTATTTGGGGTGGTGCTAGGGATTGAAACAGAGTTGACTACTTTCAAGGCAAACTCATGATCTCTTCAAAGAAAGAGCTTTAATAGAGAAGAAATATTTTTAGAAAAGGTGGTAGTATCTCTAACAATTTATTTTAGACATTATTTTAAAATTGTATTTAGGGATTGGAGCTGTAGCACAGAGGGTAGGGCGTTTGCCTTGCATGTGGCTGACCCGGGTTCGATTCCCAGCATTCCATATGGTCCCCCAAGCACTGCCAGGAGTAATTCCTGAGTGCAGAGCCAGGAGTAACCCCTGTGCATCGCTGGGTGTGACCCAAAAAGCAAAATAAATAAATAAATAAATAATAAAATTTTATTTAGTAATTCACTTTTGCTTAATGTGATATTTTTACCGACTTAATTTATAAAATTGGACAATTGATCACTTCTCACACAGTTTAATTCTAATATAAGGTTATGGGATTATACATCTGTATAAAGTGGATAATTTGTAGTGGTTAACAAAATTGGATGCCAATAAATGATGTTTATAATCTAGTTCTTCCACTTATGAAATTTTGAAACTGCATTTAAAAATAGTTTTGTTTAGTTTGTAAACAAAGAAGTTTGGAGGTGACTAATAAGCAGTGCCTGTACATGGCATGGAGTCTAATAAGGCCTTGAGATAGAGGAGAAACGCACCCCATCCCTGGCAGAAAAGTAAGAGACAGTCGACTGGTGGATGCTTGGAATTTTACAAGCATTTCAGTGAAGCTGAAAAGCATTACATATATGTAAGGTTGGTCAGAGGTGGAGTTGGAAAAGTTAAGTGGGGTCTTAAATACTGAATATTATCTTAAAAAGAACAAGAAAAAAAAAGACCTGTAATTCAGATGCATATTTTTAAAAGGAGACTGCTCTGATAAGTTTATATGGGATGAAATCAACATTTATTCACATATAGGTAAATAAAATATGTCCCTGCCCCCAAGGAACTAGAAGACTAATGGGGAGAAAGTGAATGAAATAGAATTTCCAGCATGCAGGATTATGAGTGCAGTGAAAAGAGGTCAGATTATAGGGGAAACTCCTCACCCCCACCAAACCTTGACTAGAACAATTCTTTCTGCTACTTTCCCAGTGACAGTAAAGAATCATGTTTAATAACTGTGTGTGTGTGTTCTGAATTACAGGGACCTTATGTCCATCAGTATTATCATGGGGACTTTTTGCAGTTTCTGTACAGAAACTGATTTATTTTGACTTTGGCACAGTATTTTCCTAAAATAACCTTCATAAATCCTTTTTCAATCCATAGTGGATTTTTTTTCATGGTGGTATGAAAACCAACTACTAAGAATTCTTTATAAGAAACAAAAGAATGCAGGTGTTTCTGCAAAGAGGAGGAGGGAGGAAGCAACTGAAATCTTCAAACAAATGGTTATGATATTAAATTGCCAATTCTGGTTTTCGAATGAAGAAGAAATTGAGCACAATGTCATTTAAGAATGGGATTTATTTTAAGATTTTAACATCTGGACAAATAAAATGAGTGTTCTTATTGTATTTACAGGTGATAAACAAAGGATTACTTTTCTTTGGAACACTGACAGCCATTGGCAGTACCTACCTTCTAATACGCTCCGTATCACCAACACCCCTGAGCTACTTGAGAAATCCAAGGGACTGGGCCACTTACATTCATAATACAGGTCATATTTCCCTGAAAATGCCTTGGGGCTACTAGAATAAATTCCTTTTTTCATCAACAAGTAATTAAAGGCCCTAAAGTAGCAAATTCTTGATTTTTCTGTAACCAAATTTAGAAGTCAAAACTATGTTTTGAATTTTCTAAAGGAAGATATTTGACATTTTATAGTTAAATTCAGCGTAAAATTTCTATGTGTTCACTGCAATAACTGGAAAAAATGTTTTAAGTTGCAACATTGTTTCCCTACAACAATATGAATTCTAAATATAAATTTGCCATGCCAGAATTTCTCTCACTTCTCAAAAAGTAAAGCCCCAGAGAACTAGAAGAAAACTCTTATGACAGTTTTCTTTAAAGAGTACAATAAAAGTCACTATAGGGTGGCATGCTTGAAACAAAAATTTTACTTCTTGCCTACATGCTAATTTCATTTTTTCTAATCTAATGGAATTTATCTAAGCACATATTTTAGCTTCACTTAAACTGGAAGTGTAAATGAGTAAACAAGGAATTCAAGAGGAACTACAAAGAATTAAATGAGTATGTTTTGTTTCCCAGTTGTTAAATGTCAGTATTACTTTCTGAACATGATTGCGTACGTGTGTGGATATGCACACATTTGGGGTGTGTGTGTGTGTGAGAGAGAGAGAGAGAGAGAGAGAGAAGAAAGAGAGACATCATTAATATATTAATAAATGAATGGGAAGACTTTACTTTAGAATTAAATATGTACTTGCACAGGAGAGTGGAGATATTTTCATAGAAATTTGAAGTCATATGCATAAGTTTTTTAAAAGCTCATTTGATGAAACATTAACACTTTCTTTGGTTCTTTCTTCTCTAAAAGATAATTTGAGTAATTTCAAAATTTTTCTTAAATTTGAAATTTTGACTTTTGAAAATCCCTGTTTAGAATGTCCCAAGGGTGTGGTGTTGGAGGGAATAACTCTAGAACTCTCCAGGGGAATGTTAGTGGCCTCGAATGCAAAATTGGGAGTCACCTTCTATTTGTTCCTTTAAAGAAGGTAAATTTCTAGAAGAGCACTTAAAGTTATTTTTTTTTTTTTTCTGAAAAGGAGATGGTAGACCTAACAAGTTTGGGAACCTTGAGATTTAACAATGACCTATGGAAAGATGGTTTCTTTACTAGTGCTGATCATTAAATATTCAGTGCCTTAACTGAAGAGCAGTGAAATTTCTATAACATTTCATCTGAATATAGTTCTCAAGTTAGTTTCATTCACATTGAAATGTTAGTTTAATTTTTTTTGTTTGTTTTTTTTTGAACACCTTTGACAGATCCAGAGCTGCTGATAAAACTATGAAAAATTTATTTTATTTATTTACTTATTTATTTAGTTTTTGGGCGACGCCTGGCAATGCTCAAGGGTTACTCTTGGCTCTGCATTCAGGGTACCATATCATATGCCAGGAATCAAACCTGGGTTAGCTGTTGTGTGCAAGACAAGCTCCCTGTACTGTCTCTCTAGCCCCTGTAAAATTATTTAAAATTAAATAATAGGTGAGAAGAAAAATGTCATGTTCTTGTTTTTTAATTGAATTGATGAAAATGCTTCATATATATAGATGTCTGCATCAATGACAGATCCCATATATACCTATGGGCCCCAAATTCTTATTACCTAATAGATAATGCAGTCACCACCGTATTATTTTATAATGTTAAAATGCTCTTTTTTCAGTATTTACCAATTCTATTGATATATTCACTTTTCCTTATGTTTAATTAATCTCCTACTGTTCTGTTCATTATAAACTCTAAGCTAACAAATTCACTTTCAATGTTGCCAGTTAGGAATCATGCTAAGTAATTAAACTGAATACAGAATTTACTTGAAACTATACCATAAAGCTATACTGATCAAAACAGTATTATAGTGAAATAAATATAGAGTCTTTGATAAATAGTCTATAAATTGAGTACACAAAGACAAAGCTCCAATCTCTGGTCAAGTTATTTTTGACAAAAGTGCTTGACACATGAAGTGGAGTGGATTTCTTCAATCAATGATGTTGGGGAAACTAGATAACCACATGTAAAAAAAATATGAATCTGTACCTACATCTCACATTTTATACAAAAAACAATTTGAAATGAATCAAAGACCTTGAGGACAAACCAAAAATCCACAAAATACACTGAGGAAAACATAGACAGAACTCTCCAAAATTTGAACCTCAACTGGTGTCTTCAATGATACTATTCCAAACAATATAGAAACAATAGTAAGCCAGAAAGATAGAACAGCAGTAGGGCATTTAGCTTGAATGCAGCTGACCCAGGTTCAATCTCAGACATCCCATTTGGTCCCGAGAACCAGCAGGATTGATCCTTGAGAGCAAAGCCAATAGTAAGTCCTGAGAAGCATTTGGTATGACTCAAATACAAAAATTAAAAAGTAGAATACAATATGAACTAAAAAAAAACTGTTTCTGCATAGAATTAGCTAAAACTGAAAGACAGCCAACTGAATAGGAGAAAACATTTGCACTCAACGATCAAAAAAAAAGGCTAATATGTAAAGAACTCACAAAGATCAACAATAAAAATAATTACAAAAACCTTATCAAAAATGGGGGATGAAATGAATACAGGTAATTAAAAAAAGTGTTCATCACTTATTTTCAGGGAAACCCAAATCAAGATGACAGGCATCTTTTCTCACTAGTGAGATGGCAATTTTTTGTTTGCTTGTTTGTTTTTTGGGTCACACCTGGTGATGCACAGGAGTTACTCCTGGCTCTGAACTGAGGAATTATTCCTGGTGGTGCTTGGGAGACCATATGGTATGCTGGAATTCGAACCCGGGTCGGCCTTATGCTATTGCTCCAGCCCTGAGTTGAGGTGACAATTATTAATAAAAACAAATGGAAACAATCTGTGTTGGTAGGGAGGAGGAAAAAGGATTCTCATCCACTGATGGTGGTAATTTTTTCTGGTTCAAACCCTATGGAAAACAATACAAAGACTTTTCAGAAAATTAAAATAGAGTTGCCATATTACTCAGAAACTTCACTTCTTGATACAAAAGTATTCATTCAAAATGACATAAGCACACTATTATTTACTGCAGTGCTTAGAACAATAATTAGGACATGAAGTCAACCTAGGTGCCCAATGACAGATGAGCATCGCTTTAATTTGATGATCTTAAATAAATTTTTATTTAATAAAATCTTTGGCACCTTAGCATCACTGGGTATAGCTCCAAAACAAAAAAATTAAAAATTAAACAAATAAAAAAATTAATGATCCAGAGATATAGTACAGTAGGTAGCATATTTGCTTTGCACACAGCAATGCAAATTCTATACCTGGCATTGTATATTGTCCCTCGAGCACCACCAATGGTAATTCCTAAGTGCAGAGCCAGGGGGGTAACCCCTGATTATCACCAGATGTGGTCTCCAAACAAAGAAAACCAAAAGAAGTAAGACAGAATTATCTGCCTCATATCTAAGATATAAAAAGCATAGTAAGAAGACAACAAAAGCCCAAAGGCATTTGAAACTGAAAATTGGTTTTTAGTATGAAGCATATCACTGCAGGGAGATGAAATACAACAGGGCAGGGCAGGGAAGAGTCACTTGGACAATAGTAGACAAAAGTGCTATGTGGAATCATAAAGTTTTTGAAATTATAGCCAAACCCATCCTGTAAAACAAGACACTGGGAGGCATCTCACTACCTAAATTGAAGTTATAAATCCATCATGATAATATTAGCATGGTACTGGAACAAAGATAGACTCTCTGACCAACGGGTCAGAATAGAATATACAAACATAAACCCCCATACATATGGTCAGCTAAAACTTTTGACAAAGGAGCTGGGAGCATGAAATGGAATAAAGATGGCCTCTTCGGCCAGCTGGGCACTCTAGGGGAAAGGGCAGCTCAAATAGAGAAGGGAGCACCAAATAAAGGGTGTTTGGAGGATCCTCCCAGGAGGGGAGATACATGTTGAAAGTAGACTATGGACTGAACATGATTGCCACTCAATGCCTCTTTTGCAGACCACAACACCCAAAAGGAGAGAGAGAACAAAAGGGAATGCCCTGCCACAGAGGCAGGGTGGGATGGAGGGATTGGTGTGGGAGGGATACTGGGATCCATGGTGGTGGAAAATGGGCACTGGTGGTGGGATGGGTACTTGATCATTATATAATCGAAACCCAAGCACAGAAATTTGTAAATCTACAAGTGTACCTCATGGTGTTCCACTAATAAAAAAATAAATAAATAAATAAATAAATAATTTTTAAAAAAAGATGGCTTCTTCAACAGCTGGTGTTGGGAGAATTGGATAAACACATACAAGAAATTAAAGCTGGATACATTTCTCACACCTTAATTAAAAGTCATTTCTAAGTGGATCAAAAACCTTAAGATCAAGGAAAGAATGTACAGAATGCTCCAAGACCTAGATCCCAAAGGAGTCTTCCACAATACAATGCAACTGGCAAAGTCTATAGAATCAAAACTACACAAATGAGACTACATCAAACTAAAATGTTTCTGTATGGCAAAAGAAACATGGACTAAAAAATAAGTGATATCTGCAGGGGAAAAGGGATTCTATTCATTACTGGTGGGAATGCTGACTGGTCCAGTCTTTTTGGAAAAATTCCTTAAAAATTCCTTAAAAAATTAGAAATTGAGCTTCCATTTGACCCAGAAATACAACTTGGGAATATACTCTTGGAGTCCAAAAACACACAGTAGAAACACCATCTACATTTATATGTTCATTGCAGCACTATTCACAATAGCCAGAATCTGGAAATAACCTGAGTGCCCAAGAACAGACGAATGGACAAAGAAACTATGGGACATCTACATAATGGCATACTATTCAGCTGTTAAGAAAAATGAAGTAATGAAATTTTCCTATAAATGGGTGGACATGGAGAGTATCATGATGAGTGAAATGAGTCAGAAGGAGAGGGACAGATACAGAATGACTGCATTCATTCATTCATTCATTCATTCATATAAAAAATAGTAAGAGACTAATATCCAATACCAGGGAAAACAGGGTCTAGGAGGACTGATCCATGATTGGAAATTACCACAAATTTGTAGGGGGCAACTTCTGGGAATATTCCCAGAGATGCAAAATAGTATAGTAGAAATGACATCTGCACTTGTATGTTCATGGCAATACTGTTTATAATAGCTAAAATCTGGGAAAAAAAAACCCAAGTGCCTGAGAACAGGTGAATGGTTAAAGAAACTTTGATATATCTATACATTGGAATACTATGCAGCTGTCAGAAAAGATGAAGTCATGATGTTTGCATATAGTTGGATCAACATGGAGAGTACCATGCTAAGTGAAATGAGTCAGAAAGAGAGGGGCAGGTATAGAAGGACTGCACTCATTTGTGGAATATAAAATAACAGAATGGGAGATTAAGGCCCAAGGATAGTAGAGATAAGGACTAGAAGGATTGCTCCATGGCTTGGAAGCAGACCTCACATGCTGGGGGGAAAGACAGCTTAGATAGAGAAGGGAACACCAAGTAAAGGATGC